ATAGAGATGGAGATTTATAAATAAAACTAATTTCTTCGAAAATTTAAATCCTGAAAGTATCGCAAAATTAGATAGTTTTTTTTTAGGAAAACGAATTAGCCAAAAAAGATTTTGATAGAGTAACGGAAGTATTGTAGAAGTCATCGCGATACACTTTTGAAAAAGAGAATACATATGAATCCACACAAGAGATGGGGTTGGCATTTTGGTCCCCTACGTAGACAAAATTGTGCAATTATGATTCTTCTCTTCTTAGTTTCCATAAAAAATATATTTACTTTTGTCTAATTGGAATTTTCAACTATTCGTACAATAGAGAAACTCTACGGCTACGAGAGAATATATATCCATCTAAGTACAATACAAATGCTAGTGTCTAATTTAGATATTTATTTTTTACTTGGATTAAGACTTAGAAAAATAGACTGATTATTATTTTAGAAGTTTTATTTAAAAGTGTAAATTATCCGTAACTAATATATTTAAAAATTGAAGGCAAAAACTTACTTGTTTAAAATTATATATAGTCATTTTCTAATTTTGATAAAGAGTTTTTCCAAAGGAAGATAATAATTTAGAAAATAGCATGTGAAATACAACGTTCTAGTTACTTTTACCGAATTAAACACTACCTAAACTTCAAACTATATATGTTCACAATGTTTGGCAAATTCAGTCATATCTTACAATTATTACCCATATTTCGTATGATGACATTACATTTAAATTAATGACATTGTATGATGGAAAGATGATACATAATACTAGAAAATTAACAAAAAAAAAAAGAAAGAAGAAAATAACAAGAAAAAGAAAAGAAAAAGGTCGATAGTGCCGCAAAATAACTCTCCTACACCATCTCAAATTTTGTCCTTTTTACTTGATTAGAATTAACATATTTTAAATGATTGTTAATTTATGATATCTTTGATTTGCTTTTTGATATTGTTTATGTGTTTTTTCTGAATTTGGTCCACCAAAAAGTGAGTAGATTCGTGTTAAAATTTCATTAGCAGTATCACGAGATAAGCACGCACATCATAGCGACCATACAACAGTATGGAACTCTCACGATGTGTGATTTAGTATGGGGCAAAAATTGACATCTAATAATATTGTAGCCCAATTTGGAATTAACTATTATTTTTGAAATATTAAGAAAAATAAACTTTCTCATAGTGGGGTGAACCTACAAAATCTAGTGACATACAAAGAAATGACTACTCCATTTGTCTTCACACATATACTTGAAGTTTTATATTCTAGTACATGGCTTATATCAATGCAACACGTACATCTACTATTCCCTAGCTAGACAATATAAACCTGATCTATATACGTATTACAAATTAAAATATATAGAGATTAACAAGAATCTTTCATAGTTTGACGACCATGATAGACTTATAATGTAGCAGTTATGGAATATGAGGGTGATACATCGTCTTCATATGGGTAATATAAGAGAAAATCAATCCACTAATCCCAGTTGGTTCTAAGTTACAAACTCAATGTATTAAACATGCATGGTATCATAAGATCATAGCCTAAGGCCCTAATTGATCCAACATAGCTAATATTACACTACACATAATGATTATATATTATATGTACATGCATGATGCATTCGTGTATGTATGTATGTATATGGGTGTGTAACATATTAAAAGTGAGAAATGCGTGTGTACGGTGTTGTACCAACGAGGTGGTGGATATATTTGGCCCCTCGTGAGGCCAAAGGAGAACAATACTTAACGATGGATATGTTTTGAGTTAAACCTTAAAGTTGACCCCATAAGGTTTATGAAATCGAAATTGAAGACCTCAACTTTCACTTTCTGTTACAACATCATTCCTAATAAATCATTTAAATCGCAAAGGTATATGAACTAATTACGACCCCCACAATAACAAATAACTATTTAGCTCTATGACGTAGCAAAAACAAAAACGAGATATACATCTTTTTATGAAAAAAGTGATTTACTCGGCCCTACGTGGCTACGTCCATCTGAATAGTTCATAATTATGCGTCCGTTTCTTTTGTATGAGGAATAAAAATTAAATGTCAACATTTTTAAACAGCAGAATTGCTATTTTAGGTTCTGTTGTTTTTCTTCAGCATATTTTCAAAGTATTTGGACCTATATATAGGGTTTTGTGTACACTGAATCTAGGGATGAATTTAATGCCCAAATAATCTAGATGATTCCTATAAACAGTCGTCGGTTGTATTCTGAGAATCTATGCTTGTCGTAGCTACAAAAGACAACACGGTAAGTTTGACGAATATTTATGATGGTTTTTTGATAAATTTTGAAAAGTCCGACAATTTAAACACCTTTAGTAAAATAAAAATTTCTAGAAATTTCCTTTTCACGACTTCAAAAATTTAGCTGCTAAACACCAAAATTTGACCCTAAAAAATGAAGAAAAAAGCAAATTTAGTTACCCTTCAAATCTGAATTTAAATTTTTGTGAACTTACAAACCCTAAAACTGTTCCAACACTCTCCCATTGGTAAACACACATATGTGTATGTTTCTTTTACAAAGTTCGTTAAAACACACACATGACTCGTTTCAAAATTCGTACATAACAGTTTTAACCTAATATCTTTTCTTTTCCAGATTAGTGGTGATTAGTCTTATGATAAAGAAAATGGTCCATTCGGGGTTCACAATGTGACTGATACAAAGAATAGGTTAATAATTAGGGTGAGAATTGATGAAACCAAACTTTGGTATATGTCGGTTATGATTGTAAAGTACCGTTACAGTACCTAGAAACAGCTGTGAGCCACTGACCTGACTCGTCACTACTCACACAGCAAACGGCGACGTTTTTGTCCCTAATCGCTTATCTTCTTACTTCCTAGACATTTCCTAATACAATTGTATACAAGTGTACAACTTTTAGAAAATTGCAACAAAAAAAAAACGAAACAAAAAAAAAACTGATTTGTATAAAAGTCATTGGTCTTTATCTATACAGCAATGCAAACAAGTAATATATAATCCCAAAATATGAAGTAACTTCGAATATTCGCTTTTAATTACAAGAGGAAACGTTAAAGCCGTATGAAAAAAAAAACTTAAAAAAAAAAAGAATAAAACGAAGGTGATGTTGTTGTTTGCATACAAAATTACAAATTGGAAAGTGGAATGCGAGATCACTCTACATCAGAAATCACTATCTTTTGTTCCACACATTGGGTTTTTAGAACCATACGGGTTTGAGAGAATTGGAGATCCCACCAAGCAAGAGAGAGTGGCATTATCATCACATATATACAAACTCAATATGGACCAGAAGCTACGTCTAAATGGAAACTAGGGTGTCTTCTAGTATTGCGTTTTGAGCTGTCTAATTGTAGAAACGTGTGTTTTAGATATGCTTTAGAGTAAAACCAAAAAAAAGAAAAAAGAAAAATATATGCTTAGAGCATTTGCATTGTAAAATACACATCAAACGTTAAGTGGTGAGTATTTGTAAGTAAAGAGAATAGCATGAACGCCATGAACTTTTCTATCCGTTGCATCAGAGTATTCATGACATTTTCAAACGCTTTTTTCTTCTATATATTGCATTCATGGCATCTAGCTAAACTGTCTTTGGGTGAATGATACCGACGCTATCATAACTTTTCTTATAGACCGTTTAAAACTTGCAATACTTTGACGCCCAAAAAGAATATTTGTATATCAAATAAATTATGAAAGGTGACGCCCAAAAAAGGTTTTAAAAAATGGAAAGTAAAAGAGATCCACTTGGAGTTTTGGACAACCGATATGTGTGTCACAATGTTACACGCTTATAGAATTGCATTCTCTACCATTGGAAAATTTTCATGGTCAACAATACACTTCTTTTTGTTTTTTTTATTTTTATGTGAAAATGTTTAGTGCATTAGTAGCTAAGGAAACATACATACAGAAGTTTCAACAAATGAAAAAAATACGATTACGAATTTGTGCATTACACACCAACACTATGTATTTTACATTATTATCCTCATGATACCTAAACTACAAGATCAAACGATAGATTGAGGTGACAAGCTTCTGAAATATAATATGCACTTGAACCATACAACCAATCGCAAAGAATGAACAAAATGGTTATGTGTCATGAGACATTCATCTCCCATGTAATTGTAGGATCCATCATGTTCCACTTTTAACACCATGCATCATTAACTCGGCCAAGAGTCATCCACACAATACAAGATTGATGCTGTCGAATCATGTCCATATAACGTCATGGGATATTAATTAGGTGCGGAGTCATGTCCAGATTCCGCGATTCATATACTAGCTCAATTGTATCTAGGACGTGAAGGTTTGGATCATGAGTAAGAGAAATCTTATGAGTTGCTCTCACACATTTGTTCGAGATCAAGAATCTGACTAAACTAGCCAAAAGATGGTGAGGATGCTTAATTATGGCGTTTCTAAATGATTTTTGTTAACTAGAAATATTGATCTTTCAGATGCTTGGTTAAGATAAAGTATGGGCACTATGATAGTCTTCGTAATTGTTTGGCCAAAAGCCCTCGATTAAGATTCTCCGCTGATGTGATCATGTGAAGCCAATGATTCTAACCGATTTTAGAAAGGCACAAGCTCTTACAAAAAAATTCAGTGCATATAATATGTATCACTGCTATTATTTTCGTGCTTCACTAGACTTTTGAGGTTTCAATCATAGCCATAAGAAAACACATAACAAGTCAAAAACGATCTTATATCAAGGAGAGCCGAATCCATTCTCGTTTACAAGATCCTCAACGTACGTACATCCCATGTCATGCGGGTATTGTCTCGTTTGGTTTGTGGATGCAAGAAAAATGTAGTAGTATTGTCTCTTTCTTTAAGTCATATGTATAGTGCTCAACTTCTGTTTTCTAAAACAAATTCATTTGCTTGGCATATTCAATTAAACTGGATCATGTGATTTGGTATAATAACTATGTTACAGTTTATAAAATTTTTATAAACTCTAAAAAAATAGTTAGTTTCTAGTTGAGTTCCGCCGAACAACATAACGTCTAAGACTCCAAGTTACATTACACGTGAATCGTGATCATATCTCATCAGTCACCTAGAAACAGTATCAACTATTAAATTCTCTCTAGTGGCCCCGAGAGAGAGAGAGAACTCGACAACCCACAAAAAAAAAGATTAATACACATCACAGTGAGACACACATAAGTCAGAACCTGACTTGTCAAAGTCCCGTGTTCGAGATCTATTTACATCCGCAGATTCCACGTGTGGTCTTCGAACCAACGTCGTCGCCCACATCTCCACCGTCCGATCTTTTCTCCTTTTTCTTAGATAATATTATTTATTAATATTCTTAAACAATTTCTTATTTTTTTTGAATGACGACAACCAAAAAAAATAAAGAACAATTAAAAACCAAACTCTTCAACAGGATCCTTTCCTAATCAGCAGTTTCGGACAGTCGTCAGACACGGACAAGGACGCCACGCATGACGTCATCATACCTGCGGGGTCCTGTTTTATGGACACGTCAGCGGAGACGGTGAGAGCCATTGGTTAGAAGACATGATGAGGAGGAGGAAGCAGGGACGGCTGGGATGCCTTGACGCGATAGCTCTGTCAAAACGCTCTCAGCTGACGGCGGTTTCAGCCCCAGCGGTAGCGGCAGCCACGGTTTGCTGACGACTTCCTTTACCACTTGATCTAACATTTCCTCGTCCTGACCCATCACACAACCCGACCCGGAATATTTTAATTTTCATTTTAAACTTTTTCTTTTTTGTTACCATAAAAGAAAATAGTGAATTTGTGTTACAAGAAAATAGTGAATTTGTGTGACGCTTACCGGCTGAGTCGCCGGCATTAGTTTGAAGGCGGTTTCAACTCCGTTAGTATATTGGAATCCGCCGGCGGTAATATTCTGTGACCAAAAAAAAAAAAAATCTCTTTAGAGAAAATATAAAATAAGTTTTTTTTTTTTTTGTGATGATCAAATTCCAAATATAATGTTTATAGCTTGTGAAAATATTTACCGGAGGAGTATAATATGATCCGTTCACGGGCGGTCCAACCGGACAACCCCATGCATTACCGTTCACCTGACGACACATGATTACATATAATGTCATTAAATCTGATCTACAGGTTACTTTACAATGTCACGTCATTGCGTTTCATAAACAATGCATTAGCTAAAATGTATAGGTATATATAGCTAATGACTTATAGAAAGATGTTACCGTTGGATAAGGTGGTTTCCAATGCCACGGAGGTGGTTGACCAGCGCAATGCAGCGGTGGAGGCCACAAAGGTGGAATGGCTCCTGGCGGCGGATGCATACTGGGAAGACCCCAAACGGGGTAAGCCATCACGGGACGTTGATGTTGCTGAAACCCGTTGTTGTTTCGTTGAATTGGTCTCTGGTTCTCTCTAGATTGTGCCCATCTTTGGTTATGATCCTCCTTTGGAAGAATATTTCTCCTATGTATCCGAAACTTCTGCTCAAAAACTCAAATGATTCAGTAAAATTTCACAAGAGCTCAAGAATATCTTCAAAACATTCTGACTCTTTGGATTTAAATTACCTGGAGGTGACTAGCTACGTTGTGTCTTGTTAAGTTGCTTACTTTCATTAACTCAAGAATCCGTGAAGGTATGGCTTGATCAATCCCTAGTTGCTCAACTGCTTGCACGAACTTCTTGTGCAGCTCTGGTGTCCAATCCACCTGGAGAAAATAACACAATAACAATGCTCATTGAGAGCCTGAGTCGCATAATTAGCAGCAAGGAGCCTCAAGAGAAGCCAACATTACCTTCTTTCGACTAGTTTTGTTGTTACCAGACAAGTTCTTGATTCCGGACGATTTGTTGACAGGTTTAGCCTCATCCTCTTTCTTATGACAATTGACCGAATCTGTCTTCTCACTTTCAAGATCTCCGGTTTCACCTTCTTCCTCTTTTTCGCTGTCTCCTCTCTCTTCTTTGACAACCACTTTGTCATCTTCTGATTCGGGGTTTGTAGTGTCGACTAATTTAGATTCACCAATGTCTTGATCTTCCATGTTATCCTTCTCGGTTGAGGAATTTACATTTTCCATAGAGCAGTTTATGTTCTCTTGGCAATTCCCGTCTAGTAACCGCGAAACTTGTGTCAATTGCGGGGTTGATGGCGCTGGATCTTTCTCATCAATTGTCATGTCGGTATCAAGATGAAGCATCGAGACAACAGATTCTTTCACGGGCTTAAGTGATCCGGAAACATTACTCCCACCATCATTGAATGCCTAACAACATAACAATGTACCTTTCTTAGATGATGACTATACTACCGAGGAAGTAAAGATGCTAAAAAACTAACTGAACCTTATGAACAACATGCTGCCAAATGTTCTTTAGTTTCTCCGGTGTGAGTGGTTTTTGAAGGAACTCAACTGCACCAAGCTGGAAAACACTTGTCAATTGTCATCACATAACAATCAAATTTTCTTAAACATCAAAGCAAAATGCAAGTGGCGTTTCACTTACCGCTATGCATTTCATCGTAGTAGCGATGCAATGATCAGTTGAAATCACTGTCAGTAAGAAATAGACAAATGCACATTATTTACTATTTTTTCGTATGGCAAAGATTCGTAGAAACTTAGAAAGAGTAGTTATGAAAAAGGTTCGCATACTTATAGTAGGAAGAATGTCTTTGGCAGCCTCAAGAAACTTGAATCCTTCTTTCTCAGCATTCGTATTCACCTCCGCCAAGGCAATGTGGAAGCTCTCCGGGTTCTTGAAAAGCGCAGAGAGAGCTTCGGTTTCATCTGTGAATGTAGTAACTGCAAGAAAGTTCCAACAAACTCTAAGAATAATAAAACTAACAAAACTCCAAAACATTACGGCATCTACTAGCAACTAAAAGCGTTGCGTTTTACATATACACATTGTTGTTACAATTCTCATTCATAGGCTATGAACAATCTATAGGCTGTATATGTCTGTGCGTATTTATGCAAATATAACAGAAGGCGATAAACTTCAGAGTTGTCACGGGACATGTAAAAGAAAAAGCTAAAAGCAACTTTAAAGTTATATAAAAATGTCTGACTCACATAATTACCATTAAAAAAAAGAATGTAATTTGATTAAATCGAGGAAATTAAAAGGTTTACCGATATAGTCCGCTGACTCGAGCATTGATCGAGTCTCGGCAGCGGAGAAGCCATCTCCACCGTCGTCGTCGCCGTTGAGGAGAAGAAGAACCTTAAGTCCTTTAGGAAAATTTTCCCATTTTGATAAATCGTTAGCGGTAATGACCATAGCTGGTTTTGCATCGTTTTCGCGGCCAACACCGCCGCTTTTCGCCGCCGTCACTGTCGCCGCCGGTTTGATTCTACAGCGGAAAAGATGGAAAACACTGTCTGAACTTTTATTAATTAATTTTTTAAAAAATGAAAGAATAAACACAAAAAAAAAGATAGGAAAAGTAAAATATTCAAAAAGGTGTATTATTGATGATGAGATAAGAATATAATTCATTGATGAGGAACTTTGATTTATAAAAAAAAAAAGAGAGTTGGACCACCATCATCACCATGGAAATCTAACAAAAAAAGCTTTGAATCATTTTGAGAAGTGATTAGTTAAATCATTTAACTGTAGAGTTGTTTTAACTCGTGCATGCAGTGCTTAATTAACTTAAAACACACATACTAATGACCTTTAACCAAATAGACTAATGACAACTAATGAAGGAGAAAGGCAAAATCCCTTGGATTTAGGGAAATTGAGAGACAGAGAAATACCCAGAGAGAAAGAAACTGGTGATCAAATCAGAAGTTGCACTTTCGATAATATTTGATTTTTATTTGTTTTATTCCATTAGCAGAAGAAGGAGAAGATCTTAAAAAATCTAGAGTTTCCCAAAGAAGAAGATCATACTCACATCACATGCAATAACCATATATATACAATTGATCAAAAGAAAACACAAAAAGCTTTAGAAATTTCAAAACCAAAAAGCTTTCACAATCCACAAGTCAAAATCAAATGGGTAATTTCATATAAATATTTTTGAAGTTCTTTCTAACCATACCTGAGAGTGTTTCTTGCAGATCTGCTTAAACCCTTCCTCAAGCTCTCTCTCTCTGTTTCTCTTTCTCTCTCCCTCTCTCTGTACTGAGTCACATTCAAAAGTTAAAACCTTTGGGTGGATATGGTGACTTCTAGAGAGAGAAAACAAAAATTGATGAAGAAGAGTTATAATGAGTTGGTGACTAGTGTTGTTATTGTCATTGGGTTATACACATAGATAAAAGGGGAATAGAAGGCCTCACTAAGATAAAATAAAAAAAAGTTTCTGAGGTAAGAGGAAGTAAAGAGATAAGTGCTAATTAGATTTTTTGGACTTTTTTAATTAACTTATAAGATTAATTTCCTCTTACAAAAAATGATAATATCCACATTAGTTACTTTTATTAAAAATAGGCAGATATATTTACAAAAATAAAGAAAACCAGATTTGATTCCAATTATACATGTTTTACCCAATTAATGCGATACGAGAAATAGAAAAATTCAACCGCGAGATATTAAAAGACTTAAACCGCGAGAAATAGAACACTTAAACCGCAAAATATATAACACTTAAACCGGATAAAAACCCTAAATAAGATGAAAAGATATATATCAAAACCTTTGATTTTTTTTATATCAGCCTGTGAATACATTTTGCTAAGTAAAATATATGAATCTTAAGAGTTCTTGACTTTTATTTGATGGTACTATATGTTTGTAAGTTTAAATATATATATACAATTATGGTAGGGAAAATCGTTTTCTGCAGAGGTTCCATCTTTCAAACTCATTGCCCAACTTTTATGATGACATGTGTGTGTGTGTAATTTGAAAGCAACCAGACTTCTTATTTTAATTGAAAGATGATCTTATTTTTTCATCTTTCAAACTCCTACTTCCTTATAAATATATAGTTTAGTCTCCTACTTACACTAAACTATAAATTCAAATTGTGCAAAAGCTGGATTAGTGAATTAGTTTAAACACATTGTTCTTTTATAGTGTCGTTTCTATTGATTGTTATGTATAATTAATTATAATGAAAACAAATAACATTGATTATTGTAACTTATAAGAGTGAAGCATATACAACAACCACTCTTAACTTGCAGAGCCTTTTTTGTAACGGCAATCAAAACCTTTAGTTTGACCCATATGGTCCATATCCAATTGTATTTTCGAAGAAGTAAATGCAAAAGCTGGTCGTCTTATGCGATTTTTTTAACTCATTTTTTTTAATCGTTAAATGCTTTTACGAAATGTTCACCATTGCGATTAGCACTTTTGTAAAAACAAATACAACAGTGCAATAAAAAGCATTCGTTAGTATATGGTCATTTTTTCACTCATTAGAATGAGAATTGCTTTCATCTGTTCGTTCCAACGTGACCATTATTGATTTTCTTTGAACATGGTTATTAATTATTTGAGTTTCATCGTATATATTCGTTTGGGGTCAAAATTAGAGAGGTGACCTGTTTTTTTTTTTTTTCTTTCTAAAACGAGATTTATACGATTATAGTCGACTAAAATGGTCGTTTAGACGTCACCTAACACACTCAACACCTAGACGATAGACCTAAACGAATGCTAAACCGTTTTTTTTAAAACATTTAGGAGATAATATTTATAAATACCAAATAATCAGACGTAATTAATAGCTTTCAGGTGATTAATTAGGCCATGGTGATATTTATGTCTAAAAAAAAACTAAATGTGACGTACTTTATTACAAAGCTTATTTCACAGCAATGGACATTGTTCTTCATTAAAAAGCTGAAACATAATTATACTCTGGTAAAATTATTACTTACATAATTTGTTGTTCTTTTCCTCAAATATTAATAGATGTTTTATTCCATAGTTAGAATATATAAAGAGAATTTGACTATATATTCCAGTAGGTAAAGTTTTTGATACAAAGCTATCTCATCATCATCATCATCATTTATTTTATTTCTAGAAGTTTGTCTAACTATTGTATACGAATTCAATATACTAGCTAGCTACTATATCATTATCATAAAACTATATCCTTAGAAAGTTATAAATAAAAATAAGTATTCAGCATTGTATTAATAGAGCTTGTACATAAAGGACCAATCGAGGTAAGTTGCAACAGATTATTGAACTGAACCAAAAATAGAAAGAAAACAAAAACATTTATATGAACCTATGAAAGAAATGTAAGAAGTAATGAATAGCAAGCACACAGTTATTGCAAAGCCCACAGTTTTGCCTCAAATTTTAATTGGTGGTTTTTTTTTTGTAACTTAAATCTCATATATGAACAAAAATCTAACTATCTAGAAATATATTATGTTGTTTTGCTTTATTTATTTTTATAGAAGTGTTCAATGCAAATTTTAATTTGTTTCAGTTCAAATCTTTTTTTAGTTGTTTGTGGTCTTAGACTGATTATGGTTTCGGTATAACTTAAGGTTTAAATTAATTATATTACATTGGTATGGTTGATTTTGGCTCAAATTTGGCTATCAATCAAGCATATTTCTAACCCAAACAAGATTTTTGTTTTTTAATATAAACAAGAACTTAATATATAATCAGTCTTTAGCTATGTTGGTTTCGATTTTTTTTTTAAATGTCTAGGCTTAGTTCGGTTCAAATGTTAGTTCAACCCGGTAAGTTCATACATTTTAAACACAAACTGAAATGAAAATATGATAAGGTATATATATATAAAGTTTATGTACTCTTTATGTTTGATGTTCCATAAGAAATAGACAAGTAACATTTTTCAATATTTCTGTTTTGTATATCTATGTAATTGAATGAAGTTCTGACTTTTTAGGTGTCCCAATACTATTCTCTTTTTGTTTTAGCCACACAATTTTCAACTCGCCTTTTTCTTGCACTTATAAAAAGATACGTATTCTAATATCTAAGTGGGAGAAGAAACAAATTTGAAATCTATTGCGTACGTTTGGTTAATGATTAAACGTGATTGACATAATTGCTCCCAATTTTCTAAGGTTACTATGATTAAGATTTTTTGAAGTAGTTAGTAGTAGTAGTACTTGTTGTTGAATCATTCATTATAATTAATCCGCGACAAGATAAACTTAAGATCGTGGTCGTGAGAACACCTTTTTCATTTCACGTGTCTTGTATACTAAAAGCGTTCTTTTAGATAATTACGTATCTTGGTGTTCAAAAGGAACAATTATAAGTACTAAGCTTAATGTTAATGTTACTCTATATTTTTGCTTCGGCCGAGAAAAATATATTACGACTCCTCTCTTCTGTTGTGTACCACATTGTAGTTGAGAGAGTTTGATTCGAGTCACTCATGACTTAACGATGATTGGTCACTAACTATAGATGTTCATAGCGCCAAAGTATATTGATATGAATCGGATAAATTAGGTTTAGAACTTAGAAGAATAAGGCACATGTTTTTATCGCCAGGGAACAACAATAAGCCAAACTAAATAATGTGTATGACGACGTATCTTTTTTATGAGAAATTTATAATTGGAACTAATAATTGAATGAATACAAAAAAAAAAGTTTCCTTTATAGACTCATCACTTAGACGAAAGTAGTAGTCGTATTTTTACTATTTATTGGTCCTTTTATTCCATCCATGGCCATTATATATGCCTTTATATATTCTCCTCATTCTTCAAAAGTTATTCCTAGTAATAATAATTTGGCTCTTTTTGTTTGTAGCTAAGTGTATCTCAATTTCACAACCCATAAAATAGACTAATCTGTTGCGCTTAAATTTCATACGTTATAACTTAAAAAGTTTGTGCTTTGGACTTTGGAGAGCTACATATATAGAGATTCGTCTAACATCTATTGTAAAATGTTATATTGCTCTAAATTAAGAACGTCGTAATAAATACAACATATGAAAGTTGTATGATGAGAGAGTGATGAGACAAAAGGTGCCCCATGACAACTATAGCTTTGTTCCAAAACAGTAATATCCATTTACGTACAACATCGACCCAACCGACATCTAAATCCATTTTTCCCTACAATAATGTCATTTGAACTATTATTGATATTATATTTTTCCTACGAAATTTCTAGTTTTATCTAATTTAAAATTTTCTAAAAGTTTCCATTTATATCATAACTTATTTTTTTAATATGAAAGAAAAAAATGTCAAGGTCGCATCATTAACAAGCGTCCAAGGTGGTGTCCAAAAAGACTTCAAACTATCTTGCAAACACACATGGAACTACTTCTTCTTTTTTTGTTTTGTTTTTCCTTCAAAAATAAAATTAAAATTAAGAAACTAGGGGAACAAAAATAAATAAAAAAACACAAATGCACATATTCGTCTTGATCATCATCTATATATTGTATTACAGCTTCTGACACCTTTCTTTTCATTAGAAAAATTCTGATTCCTTTCTTTTGATAAGAATTTTCCAGGTGTTTGTAAAATAGATCTACAATCTTCAACCTTCGTAAACCTTCTTCACCTGATAACATTACACCAACAACAACAAAATACTCAAATCATTAGGAGGAACATTGGGTTTGATTGATCTGAACAAAACTTTGTGATTAAATCTGAAAAGAATGTAAAATACAGGGACTGTAAAATCCAATACCTGAGGAGTTTTGTTTTATTCTTCTTCACTAGTATCAGAAGAAGAAGAAGAAGAAGATGGAGAGCTGTTTCCATCATCTCCGGCGACCCAATACTGCTTAACAGCGACGAGAATCTTCTCCGGTACGAGAGGACCATCTTCGTGATCCAATAATTTAGTATCCCATCTCATTCCATCGGCGATCTTCCTCACATCGTTCAAAACATCAACCTCATCCCGGAAAATCACAATCCCTTCCGGCCTCAAAATCCGATCAGTTTCAAGAAGAATATCTTCAAGTTTGCAGCTGCCAAAATGAAAATGACCAATTCAATCATCAGTTCTCATAAAGTTCAAAGCTTTAAGGTTAAGTTAAGGGTTGCTAATTCTCATAAAGTTTGAAGCTTTTGGGCTTGAACTTTATGGTTAAGTTAAGGGTTGCTAATTCTCACAAAGTTTGAAGCTTTTGGGCTAACTCTCAGAAAGTTTCTAGCTTTAGTGTTGCTTTATAATCATTACCTGTGCTGATACAAGCTGAAGACACCACTAGCATGAATGAAATCGTATGTTCTTGGATAAGTTGAGAAGCCTTCACACCTGAGATTTGAAAAAAGGAAAGGTATTGGAAAAAATGTAGAGATTTTAAAAGTAAAGATTTGTGTGTATGGATAGATGTTTTACCAGTCATGGTAGATACCAATGAGACCTCTCTCGTAGACAACACTCAATGTGTTCTTGTTAATGGTTGGAATCACATTCATAACCCACGATTTAGGCGATTCCAGGGCAGCAGCGAATCCTCCAAGACCGGCATTCATGTCCATCACATTACGGTATCTGGTGGAACCTATCAGTCTGTTGATTCTCTTATATGCGATCAAGCGCTTCTTCCATAGATCGATATCTTCTTGGTATGAATTTTCGTCAACGCCATTTATCAAACCTTTAGAGATACTTGGGGGAACTGCGAATAGCCTCTCGGGAAACTTCTTTAGCTCTCCTCCAGCGACTTCTTCTTCGCTTGACACTTTAGGGAATGGTGTTACACACGTTTCAATCTCCTTGTACCAGATATCATCAGTGTCCTTTCTCTTGCAGGTGTTAACTGGTGTTGATCTATCGCATGATCTATCGTTTATCTTCTTTCTGAAAATTGCGATGTCTCCCTTCTCATACTTCTTCTCCCAGCATAAGGACTCTGTGATATCCTCTATTCTCTTTTGCTCGGCGTTGAGTTCTGCTTTAGTTCGGTTCCATGTCTTGTGCCACGTCTTCCAGTTGATTGGAGGACCCGATAAGACCCAGTAACCTCCAGGTCTCAAGACTCTATCAACTTCCATTAAGTATGTTCCCTCTGTACAACCAATCAAGAACCAAAGACACAAATATGAGTCTATATGAGCAAGAAATGTGAATTTGCACCTAATTTGATAGTTAATATTTACCGTTTGCGGTCCATGGTATCAAGCATCGAGAGCATTGAGCCATATCAAAAGCTCTTGCAGGGTAAGGAAGAAGAATTGATCCAAGAACAGCGATGATCGCTGGAACACCTCTCTCAAGCGCAAACTGTACTTGTGCTTCGTGGTTATCCCTTGGCGCAAACGACATAGCCAAAACATTCCTCTTAAGCATATAAGCACCCCAGCTTGCAACCTAGAGATGGAACATTACAATCAATACGATTCTACGAAATGAATCAAAACATATTTTCAGAACAACAATGATACCAACTTACCCCACATCCAGTGTCCAATGCAGTTCTGACAGAGCCATCTTTGATTGGGATAACAGAAGCTAACTCTTCAATATACGCATCCGCGCCTTGAGGAAACATAGTTCCTCCACCAGGGAATTTAAACACATTTCCTTGAAACTGAACCCAATTCTGTCCAGCTTTTTCGACAGTCAAGCTCTTGAAAGGAGCATTGGCATAGTGAACGTAATCTCTGCTTTTAGGCCAAGGGAAAGGAGTCATATAGCCTTTAGGAGCTGGAACAAGACAACGGAGTTTCTCATTGTCAGGAGGACAATGTCTCTCTCTGTAAATCATGTTCTCTCTCAGGAACTTCATGGCTCTGTCTTGCTCTTGACAAGGCGTGTAATCCTTGAGCTTCACATCACAAGCCTTGAAAGAAACGGGTTTTGGATCAGCTTTGTGAGGGATCTTCACAGTGTTGTGATGAGGTTCAAAGTCAAGTTCAGTGACAATATCTGTACACTGTGCTTGCTTTGTGATCTCCATAGCTATGCTGTCTCCTTTACCAAACCCACTCTTTTGCCATGCTCCAAGAAGGTAGAAGAAACAGCATAAACCAACCACAACGAGTAGAGATAGTGTACTTCTCGATCTGTTATTCCCCGGTGGGTTATGCTTAGAACCCATGATTCTTTCCAATCTCCTGAGAAACATTTTGAACAAATCACAAACTTAGATTATCAGTAAACAAACACTACTTTGAGCTAAAATTATCAAGATCTGTTATAAATAGGATCTCAAACTAATCAAAACCAAGACTTTGGCAATTGAAACTAAGGTTTATCGATTCAAAGACTAATCCTAACATAAAGTAATCTAAAGACAGTAACTTTAGCACTGAAATCCAAAACCCAGAATCGGATCTCGGTGAAACAGATAAGTATCAGAGCTATCAGTAGAGAAAGAGAGAAATGAACCTGGTCGATGAAAGATCTTGTTGTAGCAGAAGAGACTCTACTCTAAAATCTCTTTTCTACTCTCAGATCTCTATGGTTTAAGCTCTTTTTAAGTGAGATGAGCTTGCAGAAAGTATAAAGCTTTTGAGTGTGAGACAGAGAGAGAAGTCACAGTAAAATAATGGTCTTCGTCTTCACTAATTAAGACACACTAAATTGAGATTTGATTTGATTTAACTTGATGATGAAGGCGCGTTTGAATTTCTTTTTTCTTTTTTCTTAAACCTGTTGGAATTAAATGAGTGTAGTTTCGCAGCAAGATCTTAGCAAATATTATTACAATACTACAATAGTCATAGATTTAGATCTAATCTGCACTGGCACATGCATCCATATGTTTTTTTCTTTCAACCCCTTTTGTGTGCGTTTGTATAAACTATACACTTAAAACTTATTTTTCTAAAGCTTTTAGGAAGTTTAATTTGCCATATCTAGTTAAAATAAAAATTTGAGATTCTGGTTCACCATTATTAGAACAAATACTTGAAGATGCGTAACAAAACCTTTTGTTTATAGATCTAGAAAGAGCAAACCCATATGTAATTAATAAGAAGACTTATGGGTTGAATGTAGTAATCTATAATATTATTAGCCGAAGAGTCTTGTCGTCCCAAGTGGTCCTTTTCAGACAGTTGACAATTTGACATACTCAGTTCTTTAGATCTCCTACCGACACTCTCCATTTCCCCCTTTACTTAACTAACTGGATCACCGTCAAATACCGAGCTAAATAGGTTCACTGCCAAACTATACTTCCATTAGAAAATGTGGTGGTGGTGGCATCAATTAAAAAGAGGATGTGGACTTTTCAAATCTTAAAACTCATTAACATCTTTGGTTAATCCCAAGTGATGTTTTCTAGAAACATCAGAAACCGGTGATAAGGCCATGAACCAATCCAAACATGAATGGTATATGGGATTTAAACAGGGTTATGAAGAATTTACGAGTTTTGGAGGCCGATAAGTATGCTGGGTTTTTACAAGAGTAAATTACCTCTGGTTTTATACAAAGGGCACCATAAATTTTGTGAAGACGATACTTATATATTAATACTAAAGTGAAATGCTAGAGCTTCAGGAACAAAGACAATGTCAAGTCATGTTTTTAATGATATAAATAGAGATCTCTCACATACAAAACTGTAACTGAAACAAGGCAAAGAGTTGAGAGGGTTGTTTAGTTTCAAGCGGTGTAAGCGTTCTTTGCGTTCCTGTCGAGCTTCCTCGCATCCTCCTGAAAAAAAGGTAATAAAGACGAACAGTTAGAGACCTAATGAAACGACTTTCAAACTAGCTCTAGGAGAGAAGATCTCTTCTTACATGGATGATGAAACCTATGCTGTTGTTGTAATCAAGAATCTCCTTCCATTGTTTTCCAATGCTCACCTGCAACATTGAAGCAGATGGTTTTTCATGTGTTTTTGTTTTCACAGAGAAGACTGTTTGATGAGAAAAATGATCTTTTCTATTTACCTGAGCAGCTTCGTTTGAAGCATTTTTGGTCCAAATAGATATCCTTTCCTTTCCTCTAATGTTAACAACCGCTCCACAGATTTCATCTCCATGATCAAACTGCTCCCCAATCAATGCAAGCAACTAGACGAAGCATGCGAATAACCAAGTTAGACTAGATTGGATGGTGAAGCAGGAGTTATCCGTCAAAAATAAAAGAAGGATAGAAACCATACAGTGTAGAGCCAGCTCTTATCTGCCTTCTCCTTAGGGAAATTCATAGTCCATTTGCCTCCGTTTGCACAAATAGGATCCTCCCACTTAGGTTCGATATTGTGTTTGAAACAGTAGAAGTCAGCTCCGTGAGCTAACTTGCTTGGATGCCTCATGTTATTGTACAAACTGAAAAGCAAAGCAACATTATCATTCAGAAAAAGTCGAAAGATCAACATACAAACCTACTAATCCCATGAGGAAGAGCTTCACAACCAAAACGAACACTAAGAAACGATTTGATGATTTCAAAGTTTGTCTCTTTCTCAAACTAACTCTGCTCTTCTACTTTACTTTTCGACCTTTTGGTTCAACGTTTAGTTCATCTGAAGCAAACAAAGTGAACAAAGAAAATGTTGCTTTAAATTAAGCATTAAGCTCTTAGCTACCTAATTCAAACCCCTAACATAAGTTATAGCAACAAATTGAAACACAAAATAAAGCAATTCATCATACACAGATAAGAACAGAGACTTCAATGGAATCTTCTAATCCACCAATAAAAGAACACAAATTTCCTCAAAAAATCAAATTCTAAACAAAACCCAGAAGCAGAATCATTCAAAACGAAACAGAGATTGAGAATCGGGGGAAAAAAATCGAAATCCAAAAACCTAACCTCCAAAATTCTTCAACAGTTGAAAAAGTGAACACGGATCGCAAGGAGCTTCCCCAAGTGGTCTGTTTAGATTTCACAGCAGGATTATCAAACCAGAACGTCCACGAATGTTCCAACGGATGCGATTGAGGAGCGGCGGATTTGTTCGATTCGTCTACGTCTCCGTGCCCTTCTCCGCCTACGATCTCTCCTTCTTCGGCATCGTCACCTTCCTCATGGTATCGATCAATTGGATTCTCTTTAGAATTAGGGTTTGCTTCTTCGTTAACAACAGATTTGGGAGTGTCTTCTACCGCCATTGTTTCTTCCCAACAGCCTCTCTCTCTGTCTCTTTCTCTCTTCTACTTCTGTCTCTTCTCCCAAACTAAAATGTACTTCTTCCCCGTAGGGTTAACTCTGCTACGACACCGTTCTTATGTGACACAGTTTATGTCTTTTTTGGGCCAAAATTTATGAGTTTAACTAATATTTCCGTATTAAAGTACAATAATGGGCTTTTTATATTGGGTTTTAACTTGTTGCGATTCCTCGGCCATACAAAATATATTTTGTTTGTTTTGAATAATAATTGATTTATAAAACAGATTTGTGATTATCTAATATAAAATGATCAAGTTTGCAGCTATATTGATTAATTTATATCAAAAAAAAAAGTGCAGGTTTGAAATCATGGTATCAAAGAAACAAAACCTAATTGAATATTAATATACAAGATTTAGATCATATACTTGTACTTATATCATCGAACAAATAATGTTTTTTCATATAATCACAAGTGATATATTAGCTGACTTTAACGATCAATTGCTTGTTTAAATCAATGATGGCGATAGGATTATGACTTTGTGAGGAATATATATATATATGAGTGTTAAGTTTTATTTTATTACTTACGAATCAGTTCTAGCTAGCGTAATGATTTTGTTTTAAAATCTTTGGTATATATCTAACCATCCAAATTCATATGTTGTTGACAGAGAAAACATTAATTAGAGATTATATTATTGTCGAAATCTCGAAGAGTTTACAATCGAAGCTACAAAAGCTAAACCAACTTAGGAAAAATAAAGAACAGAAAATGGAACTTCAAAAGAGTCCGAGACGACTAAGAGCATCTCCAATGGTGCTAACCATTGGAAGGTGCTTACATATTTTTTTGCATTAAATTTTTAAAAATAAATTTATAAGCAACTTTATCTTGATGTTGAAAAATTTGGTGTTCCAATGGTATAACTCTTAATGAAGTGCTTAAAAACAAAAAATTAATTTAATTGGGAGAATTTCAAAAATACCCCTTTTCCAATACCACTTTTTAAAAATACCCCTTTTTCTAATTTTATCAAAAAGTCACTATAAAATTTGAAATTTATCAAAAAAATATGCGAAAGCTTATATTTATAGACACAAACTATCTTTATATGTGTGTAAATTTATACATATATCTCATAAATACCGTATAAATACATTTTAAAAACCTTTTAAAAATCATTTAAAAACCTTATAAAAACTTTGTAAACCTTTTAAAAACCTTATAAAAACCTTATAAATGCCGTTTAGAATCTTTTAAAACCTTATAAATATTTGGATTTAGTTTCCCAGTAGTAATGATGATCTTGATGTACCTTATCAACGATATAAAAGTTTGTAATTTTTCATATTTGAAAATGGGTATTTTTGAAAATGGATAGAAACAAATAGAAACATTTATTATAATTTATAAAAGAAAACAAGTTATTGCATACTATAAAATATTTAGATCATGATATAAAAGTATATATGAAATCATATAAATTAAAAACGAAATAAGCGACTAGTTGTAATATTGATTTGTGCCAAATTATGAGGAAAATGTTTTTTTTTTTTTTTTCTATTTTTCCACTCACCCACTAATATTTTGACACGTCAGCGGCCCTTAGCTTTTGCTTATAAAGCTAATTTAAGCTACAAAGCTTATGTTTTGTGGTTCATTTTACATTAAATATAATGCAATTAATATAAGCAATGTGTTAAGCATTGCATTAAGCATCTCTAATGGAGATGGTCTAAGTTTTGTCTAAATTATACCTTCGTAAATGTTGTAATCTACTCTATGGAGTGTAGTGATCTCTACGTACCCCCGTTATATATAGTATTTCTTTTACACGACGTTAGGTTTTTACACTCATTACTTTTGGTTGATTAATATAGATAAGTACGTTGACAAAACAAAAGAAGCAAATGAATTCTAAATCAAAATAATATGCATTTGTGTTTTAAGTTCCGTACATGCATGTTGATGTTATATTTAAATTGTAAAATCTGTGGATATACCACATGCAGGATCACAAAAAAAAAATTAGATTGGTTCTCTCTCGGTCAAACGAAAGAAATTAAAAAGATATTTCATATGTTTGTTTTTGCAGTCGAATGTATTCTATTACTTCATGGTTGATAATGACGTATAACTGAGTGAATCTGGTTCTATTCCATTAACTGTCAGATTTTTATTTTTTATTTTGGTTTTAAACTTTTAATTGTACGTACGTTCCTCATTCACTAGTAAGTATAGATAACTATTTCTGTAGAATAGAATATACTCAAGAAAAAACTATTCTTGACAACATAGTTCCATCGAGAGAAGAGACTATATATATATACGCTGCATGATCTTTTTGTTTAAATTTATATGCTATTCTTTAGATTTTTTTATTTTTTACAAGATATAAGATTATTTGATTCACTGAAAAGACATATAATTGCATGGCTTGTTTATTATATGCCGCAAAACCAAGAATATCGAATGGTATAACATCTTTAAACTATATATTTGATAACGTACGTCGACGTAGTTCGGAAGAGAATACTTTTTTTTTTTTTTTTTGCTTTAATTGTCAACCACTCTTTACACCAAGTAAGAAAGAAGGAAAAACAAAAATTGTCAACTAGTTGTGAAATATCGTTAATCTCAATCGCATAATTTCTGACTTCTTAGTGCATGCATGTGAATTGTGATGAAATCTTAATTTAGCAAAAAAAAAATTGTGATGAAATCTTTTATATGTTCACTAGGAATATCGAACATATGTATAATTTGAATCTTATATAAAAAACAAAAACATACATAACTTAAGCAGATGTTATATACAAGGCTTCTAATTTTCAATATCTAAGAAATGATTTAAAATATAAATGTCTCACATATCCATCGCTGAAACAGAATTGTGAAAGTCACATTGAAGATATGAAAATACCACTTGGCACTTGACATGTAAAATATTAAAGAAGTTCATAAGCATACGAACATGATTATCTAATCCGCTCAAGAGACCACAAACGAAGATTATTTTACAATTCTAAATTTTACTACAAATGGATTAAAAATTCTAGTAAGGCTTTTGTAAGTAAATTCAGCTACGTTTTGGTTAAGCTGGCGAAGAGGTTAATGATTGATAAAGCTTTGTCGCTAGTTGACGTTGTCTTATGTAGTGAAAGAAGTGACTAGTTTTCAAAAGTCGAGAAGTGACTAGTTTTGACAACAAAAGTGAAAAATTATTGACAAATAATGAGTTATGTGACTTGTAATGGTAATGCCTAATGCGTCACATAGTTTTCTATCTTCCATTATTCTATAAAGATTAGAATAAAATTCTCTTTTTAATTTCTTTCCCATCTTTTTCTTTGAAAAAACATTAATGTTAATTTTTTTTTCTAAAGCAAACATAGAAAGCATGTCAAAGACAAGAAACGATTGAACTCCATATTGATGTATATTTTTTCTTTTAAGAAAAGAATATAACACACATTTACATACACATACACATGCAATATATATTTTATATATTAGCAATTTATTTAAATAAAGTTAGACAATGGAAACATCAAACATGGTTAAATGCATCCTTTGGTTTACTTGTTGTCTTAATCACTATACCCTTGCATAATGTTATACAATTTCCACATAATAATTAAGAAAACCAGAAAATATCTAGTAACTTACATGATATGCTATATCATCCTATTTCTTTGACTGAAAAGCTAAATAATAGAGATAAATTTGGTACTTATATTTCAAAATCTCTCCATTGGGAAAAAAAAAAATTCTTTGCTAAATCATAAAAGAATACTTATTAGGAAAAGAAAGGAGTAATACTTAAAGAACACTTATCACTATCAGTTACTAAATAATACACATACCATCTATTCCAAAAGTAAGTTGACACACAAATTTTGCGGATATAAAGATGTTTGATTCTCCACTAGGGGTTCTCCTTAATCTTTATGACTAAATTATGTTTAATATGGTTCTATTTAACTCTAAACCAATCAATATGTTATGTACTGTATATACGTGTGCTTCCTAGTTTTCAATCTTCATAACAAAATTACTATAACAAAATAGAGTGTGTGTACGTATACCAACACTAAGCAAATAAAGAGTGAACAACAATAATACAATTAAGTTTGATATCTTAAAGATATATTTAATTAGTAAACATACACTTGGTGGAACCAAACGGAATAAACAATGGTCAAATTTATTGGGGGAATTCGAATTTCCGACTCGATAGATAATTAATTACTGGAAAGGTCGCTTGAAGACATACGATATAATGTTCTTCTATTATTACATGATTTTTTATATATGATGTATCCAGTATTTTATTTTGACTAATATCCTAAACCCATATACTTTTGTTTTCCCTTATTTGGTCCACTAAAAGTGTAATTTCGATATTTTCTTCTTCATAAACAGGTTTAACAAAAAAAAAAAATATGATTGCAAGAAAGAAGAAAAGTTTATCTTTTACAAATTGATAGAGGAATTACTTAATGCCTGCCTAATTGATCATATTGTTCTAGCGGTTTGCATACTTCATTGATATTTGTTATCTAAAAAAACATATATATCATATGATATATGTTCTTTTTTTGTTAAAAGGCATATCATATGATATATGTTAAAACAAAAAACTAACGCTTAATTAAATTCTTAAATCCCTAACAACATCATAACGCAAACGTCAAAGATCAGAGGAGAATAATAATAAAAAAAACAGTAGTCCTTAACTATCTCAACTCTATATTTAGGAAGAGACGACGAGCAAGAGCAAGAGCACCAAATTAAAAAGTTAAAGTTATATTGTGAGATCTTTTTATAAAACCCCATACCAGTATTTGAATTTTCACGTTTTTTTCTCCTCTCTCTTCGTTGTTTTCATCACATCCCTTCTAGAAACTCTCTCTAGCTAAGAGATTCTCATAATTTATTTTACAGTCTGGATTACAAATTTTGTTTGTTTTTTTCCATTTTCAAGAACGCGTATCAAATTTTGATATCTCCTTTCTATACGCTACTACAAATTAAGCCTTGTTATATATATAAAAGCCCTTAAGCTTCTCTCTGTGTATTTATTTATTTTTGTGATCTCTCTCTTCCTCTCTCATAGATCTCCCGTGAAAGTTTTTATATTATTACCGATAACTTTTATTTTTTGTTGTGTTCCTCTCTAAGGGATAATAATTATGAAAGAAGAAGAGGAAAGAAAAGAAACAATGGAGGAGGAGAAACTGACGAAGAAGAAGAAGAATGACGGAGGGAATCAGAAAGTGTCGTATTTCAAACTGTTTTCGTTTGCCGACAAAACCGACCTTGTCTTGATGGCCGTCGGGACTATCGCCGCCATGTGTAATGGCCTTACTCAGCCGTTCATGACTCTTATCTTCGGCCAGCTCATTAATGCCTTTGGTACCACCGATCCAGATCATATGGTTAGAGAAGTGTGGAAGGTAATTAGGGTTTTTTTTTTAATATTTATTTTATATATATATCGATTATCTTTTTTTTTTTAAGTTAAATTTGGGATTTGATTAGATCAAACCGAGTCATTTTTTTCTCGATCAAGAAATATAAGACATCCTTAAATTTAAGGATTAGGGTGGACAATATTATTCTTGATTTTAGTTATCATTCAAATGTTCCATAATAATAAAAAAAGTTATTAACGATTCTTGATTTTTTGTCAATAGTTTTAGAGGCTATCTCGATCGATTTTTTTGGATTAATACATAATTTTTTTATTTTGATCAAATAAAATGGAGAAAAACTACTATTATTTTGATATGAAAGTTATGATGTAACTTAAATAAGAAAAACACTTTAATTTCTGCTTTAAATAAAAATCACATTGATTGATCTGATTATACTTTATTTCTTTATATGAGTTACATGAAATAAATGGAGTTTACTGTTTTCTTTGTTTTGAAGATATAGACAAAGATACACTGTTTATTTTAGCCTTTACTTTAAAGTAAGCAACTTTAGTTTTTTTTTGGCGTCGAACATAATCAAATTTTAGTGACTAATTTATTAGTCTTCCCTCCACGTTTACAGGTTGCTGTAAAGTTTCTTTACCTTGCAGTATACTCTTGTATCGTCGCCTTCCTCCGTAAGCTTTACTACTTTACTCTTCTGGTTTTATCTTCTGTGCCCTAACTTGTGTTCTAAGCTAACGGTTTCTTCTAATTTCAACAGAGGTCTCATGTTGGATGGTTACTGGAGAACGTCAATCCGCCACAATTCGTGGTCTTTACCTGAAAACGATATTAAGACAAGATATTGGATACTTCGATACGGAGACAAACACAGGAGAGGTCATTGGAAGAATGTCTGGAGACACAATTTTGATTCAAGACGCCATGGGAGAAAAGGTTTTAATGAATTATATATACATTCAAATCACAAACAAATGATTTCTTGCGATACAAGATACTTAATAAGCTGTTGGTTTTGATACACAGGTTGGGAAATTCATACAACTAGGAACAACATTCCTTGGAGGATTCGCGATTGCATTTTATAAAGGACCGCTTTTGACGTTGGTTCTTTTGAGTTGTATCCCTCTGATTGTGATGGCAGGTGCAGCCATGTCTCTGATCATGTCTAAAATGGCTGGTCGTGGTCAAGTCGCTTACGCAGAGGCTGGAAATGTAGTTGAACAAACCGTTGGAGCCATTAGAACAGTGAGTTTTCTCTTCTTTTCTTTTAGTCCTTTCCAAAAATTAATCTAACTGTCATTAGACACTGAATCGCGTTTTTTGTTTCCTTCAGGTAGTGGCCTTTACCGGAGAGAAACAAGCAACGGAAAAATATGAACGCAAGCTCGAAACTGCTTACAAGACTATGGTTCAACAGGGTTTAATCTCTGGTCTAGGCCTTGGTACAATGCTAGGCGTGATCTTTTGCACCTACGGTTTAGCGGTTTGGTATGGTGCAAAGCTAATAATGGAGAAAGGTTACAATGGCGGACAAGTCATCAATATAATTTTCGCGGTCTTGACTGGAGGAATGTGAGTTAGAAGTCATCATAATCCCTCAATTTGACTCATTGCATACGATGTTACGTGTTCATCAAGCTACCTTGTTTTGTCAGGTCGTTAGGGCAAACATCACCGTGTATGAATGCTTTCGCCGCAGGAAGAGCCGCAGCTTTCAAAATGTTTGAAACGATCAAGAGGAGTCCAAAGATTGATGCTTATGATATGAGCGGTTCTGTTCTTGAGGATATTAGAGGAGACATTGAGCTTAAAGATGTTTACTTTAGGTATCCGGCTAGGCCTGATGTTCAAATCTTTGCTGGATTCTCACTCTTTGTACAAAATGGCACGACGGTGGCTCTAGTGGGACAGAGTGGAAGCGGGAAATCGACAGTTATCAGTCTAATAGAGAGGTTCTATGATCCAGAATCAGGACAAGTTTTGATAGACGACGTTGATTTGAAGAAGCTTCAGCTCAAATGGATAAGAAGCAAAATCGGTTTGGTTAGCCAAGAACCTGTGTTGTTTGCAACAACAATAAGGGAGAACATAGCTTATGGGAAAGAAGATGCGACTGATCAAGAGATTCGAACTGCGATTGAGCTCGCTAACGCAGCTAAATTCATTGACAAACTCCCACAGGTGCCTTAATTTTTCAATACTGAATATAAGATTAGAAGGGCTTTGTCCATTTTAATGAAATTTTCTATGTTTATAGGGTTTGGATACAATGGTAGGAGAGCACGGGACACAAATGTCTGGCGGACAAAAACAGAGGCTAGCTATCGCTAGGGCAATTTTGAAAAACCCTAAAATCTTGCTTTTAGATGAAGCAACAAGTGCGTTGGATGCAGAATCCGAACGTATTGTTCAAGACGCGCTTGTGAACTTAATGTCAAATCGGACTACCGTTGTGGTCGCTCACCGGTTGACCACGATAAGAACCGCCAACGTAATAGCCGTTGTTCACCAAGGAAAAATTGTGGAGAAAGGTATTGTATTTACCGTGTACTAAAAGCTACCTATTCTGAAAACGCTAGATGTGCACTATTAAGTGATTGAATGTGAATTATTTTATAGGGACTCACGATGAAATGATTCAAGATCCAGAGGGAGCTTATTCACAGCTTGTTCGTCTTCAAGAAGGATCAAAAGAAGAAGCTAACGAAACAGAGAGACCTGAAATGAGCTTAGAAGTGGAGAGATCAGGAAGTCGTAGGTTATCATCGGCGATGAGAAGATCCGTTAGTCGGAATTCATCAAGCAGCCGCCATTCTTTCTCTATGACTTCCAATTTCTTCATACCAGGAGTTGGAGTTAACCAGACTGAAGATATCCAAGACGACGAGGAAAAACCCGTGAGGCACAAGAAAGTGTCATTAAAGCGGCTTGCTCGCCTCAACAGACCGGAACTCCCGGTTTTATTGCTCGGGTCAGTTGCCGCAATGATTCATGGAACGTTGTTTCCTATTTTCGGTTTACTGCTTTCGAGCTCCATCAATATGTTCTATGAATCAGCAACGATACTGAAGAAAGATGCACGTTTTTGGGCTCTGATTTATGTCGCTCTCGGTTTAGCCAATTTCATCATGATCCCGATCCAAAACTATTTCTTCGGTGTCGCTGGAGGAAAGCTGATTAAACGCATCCGATCAATGTCATTTGATAAAGTGGTTCATCAAGAAATCAGTTGGTTCGATGACACATCAAATTCCAGGTGAAAATAACATTATATGATAACCTATTTTTGAATCCAATTTGCTAAACGCGTATTTTGTAACTTTAGATTCTAATGTTTTATTTGCATTTTGCTTCAGTGGTGCGATTGGAGCGAGGTTGTCCACGGATGCTTCAACAGTGAGGAGTTTGGTAGGAGATGCATTGGCGTTAATAGTACAGAACATAGCTACTGTAACCACTGGGTTGATAATAGCGTTTACAGCGAATTGGATGCTAGCTCTCATAGTTCTTGCTCTCTCACCATTTATTGTCATCCAAGGATATGCTCAAACCAAGTTCCTGACTGGTTTCAGCGCAGATGCTAAGGTTTAATATTATGATCACAACATTTTTTTGGTTCGATGCGGGTTCAGTCACATTAATATGAAATTAATGATCAATTTTATCCTGGTTTAGGCGAAGTATGAAGAAGCGAGTCAAGTGGCGAATGATGCAGTGAGTAGCATAAGAACGGTTGCATCTTTCTGCGCAGAGGGCAAAGTGATGGATTTATATCAGCAAAAATGCGAAGGACCGAAGAAGAACGGTGTCCGGTTAGGTCTTCTGAGCGGTGCGGGTTTTGGTTTCTCTTTCTTTTTCCTCTATTGTATCAATTGTGTATGTTTCGTCAGTGGTGCGGGGTTGATTCAAATAGGTAAAGCCACATTTGGTGAAGTCTTCAAGGTAAGGAGAGGAACATTTCTCTGTTTAGTCAAGATCCGGTTTAGTTTATTGATGTTTAATTTCTACTTGATTGTTACAGGTTTTCTTTGCATTGACGATCATGGCGATAGGAGTTTCTCAAACGAGTGCTATGGCACCTGATTCAAGCAAAGCTAAAGACTCTGCAGCTTCGATTTTTGATATCCTCGATAGTAAACCGAAGATTGATTCGAGCTCTGATGAAGGTACAACGTTACAAAACGTTCATGGAGATATCGAATTCAAACATGTTAGTTTCCGGTACCCGATGCGACCGGACGTTCAGATTTTCCGTGATTTGTGCTTGAGCATCCCTTCCGGAAAGGTAAGAAAACAGAGCCTATTCATTCTTTCATCGGTTAAAATTGGATTTTACCGGTTAAATATTCTGTTCATTGGTTGTTTTTTTATTCAGACCGTTGCACTTGTTGGAGAGAGCGGGAGCGGGAAATCGACAGTGATAAGCATGATCGAGAGGTTTTATAATCCGGATTCAGGCAAGATTTTGATCGACCAAGTGGAGATTCAGACATTTAAATTGAGTTGGTTAAGGCAACAGATGGGTTTGGTTAGTCAAGAACCGATTTTGTTCAACGAGACGATCAAATCAAACATAGCTTATGGCAAAACCGGTGGAGCCACAGAGGAAGAGATTATATCAGCTGCAAAAGCCGCAAACGCACATAACTTCATCAGCTCGTTGCCTCAGGGATACGATACGTCCGTTGGAGAACGTGGAGTTCAGCTATCAGGCGGTCAGAAACAGAGGATTGCGATTGCTCGTGCCATTTTAAAAGATCCTAAGATTTTGTTGCTTGATGAAGCGACGAGTGCGTTGGATGCAGAATCTGAGCGGGTGGTTCAGGATGCGCTTGATAGGGTTATGGTGAACCGAACCACTGTAGTTGTGGCTCATCGGCTCACGACGATCAAGAACGCAGACGTGATTGCTGTTGTGAAAAATGGCGTTATTGCTGAGAAGGGAAGGCATGAGACACTGATGAAGATTTCAGGTGGTGCTTATGCTTCTCTTGTCACTCTGCACATGACTGCAAATTAACAGACTTTTGTTTTTGGTCATAGCGCAAAGAGAGAATTTTTAAAAGATTTTATTCGTTAATTTTGTTCTGTTAAACTCATAAATTTGAGACAAACAGATCCTTTTACTCGAGCTTAAAAGGCTTTGTACCAGACTGGGTTTCAAATGTTAGAAAACTTTTGAAATTGGGGTAAAAATAGCAAGTGTCAATGGTGTTATTGGATATAACTAAACCTTTGTGGTCAATTCTAATTGACCTTTTGTTATGTTTTTCCCTACAATTCATAGGATTATTCACTTGACAGCTTCAATAATTTTATATCTGCAATAAGAACACTCTTCAATAGGCACAGATAAAATATCTTTTTGGAGGTAAATGCTATTTTGGATCAACAAATATGAACAAGGGTAGTATTTTTTTCCGCAGAAATGACTGACAGCTAAGTATTTCAGACACAAATGTAAGGAAATCAAATGAAATCTTTGAAGAAGAGACTCAGTAAACTTCAGCAGCAAAGTTGTTTGTAGGAAGTCTCTGTCGCTTCTCGATATAAGCCATAGGAAACCAACCAGCTTTTCCTTTGCATTCTCCTTCAGCCCAACCAGTTTGGCTCACCTGAAAATAGGAAAGAAAAGAGCACACAGAGTTAAGTTTTAAGCTCTCACCACAAAGATTAGTTCTTTGATTTTGGTAATAACATGCAAACCTTGCGGACAACGACGTAGTCTCCTTTGCTCAGGTCTAGCTCTTTCTCTGAAGCAGCAGAAAACGGATGAACCACCTGTTGAGGGAAGAAATATGTTGAAAAATGTCTTTCTCTTGTCTGAGATATGCAATGATAATATTTCGAAAGGTAAAGAACTTACTTCAGCCAGGAAGTATGATGTTTTCTCTGAGCCGTTCTCTGTTGGAATGGCAGGAGGAGCAGATTCTTTGTGTTGTTTCTCAGTTACCATCTAAGAAACGCGATAAGGCCAAAATGTGTGAGCTTTTGAAGAAATTAAGATATGAAAACAATTCACCCAATACTAACCTCTGCTTCAATGTCACTAAGGATTGCTGCTATTCGTAAGTGATAATTCTTCTCCCCTTCAACCTAAAATAAGTAATACGGTAAATAGTAATCTTTATAAGACACAAAATCCAGTGTGTATGTAAAACATACCATAGCCACAAGCCTCTGGAAAGTGAGTCTATGTTGCTGTGATTCAACAGCGGCCAATGCAGCAGTTGCTTCTTTACCAAGAACTGCCATGTTTGCTTTTAGTTCTTGCATCTTTGCTTCTGCTAGTTGAAGCTTTGCGACATTTTCTGGAATCGGAGCTTCTCTTACACGTGCCTGCCTTCTAGAGACTTCTGTTGCCTGTTTTGCTTTTAAAGTTTTAACTCACATTACAATATAGCCAACATCATCATAGAAATCAGATTTCAAGAAGATTACATGTGTCTCTGCTTCTTGTCTCATGCGGCTGTAACGTTGAGCAAGATGACGAGCATCTTCAAGAGGAGAACCAGCAACCATAGCTCTAAGAGGATCCAAAACCTTAATGCATTCGAAAATGGTTTTCTCCTTTTATCTTTTAGATTTATATTCTAAGAAGTAACATAATAAGATTAAAACAGATAATCCAAGGCGAACCTGAGAAGCCAAAAGCTTGTTGAAGTCTTCTTGTTCTTTGTCTACATGTTTCCGAGCATCACCATATATAGCTGCAGCCTTGGCCAGAATATTCTCATCAATGTTTTGACTATTTTCGTTCCCATACCTACAACAGTCTTCAGACAACTTGGTTCCTGACATTAAAGATTATAGAAAAAACCCTTAAAAATGTGTCATATTGTAATTTATCCAATGAAAGGTAACACAAAATAGGTATTCAGAAGGAACCTGCTTCAATGTGTCTGAGCCCAATTGTGGTAAATGTCTCAGCTGCTTTAACTATCTCTCTCTGGAACTCCTGAAAGTGACAATAACATATGTTTTGAGGATATATTGCTATAATCAATCAACTCTTATAAACTGTGAGATCAGTCTGAAGACAGACAATGCCATTAACATAAAGTCAATATCTGAAGTAAGAGATAAGTCAATATCAGTCTAACCTTTGCAGAACGAGTAGAACGGTATAGCTTATCGAGCTGATGATGCCTTTGCATTTCTAGCTCATCAATCACCATTACATCTGAGCTTTCATAACCAGTCCCACTGAACTGCTTGATCACAGCCTACATTTCCCATTACCACACACCAACACAAATCATCACTCAGACTGTTATAGCAAACAACGCTACTATAATACTTATATACAAACCAAAATGCTTATATATAATCGATTCTGCCAACACGAATTTGGTATGCAAGTTGCAACAACGTTTTCTCCAAATTAGCAGATTCCAAGATCATTAATTAAACTCGGCTGCGTTCTGCTAAATCCGTAGAAATGAAATTAGTTGCGGCGATATAAAATATAAGTAATTACCAGTTGCTGCTTTGCGACTTGGTCCCTGAGCTTACTCGCTTGTCTTCTAAAAGCATCCATTGTCACTTCTCCTTTCGATTTACCCAAATTGATTCTCACGGAAAACAAAAAAGGCAAGATTTAGAGGGTGTTTGAGTGGAATTGGGAAATCTAACTTCGATCAAACCAGCTTAGACACTGACAAAACAGATCAGATCTGATTCCAAATATGTTCTTCGACTAGATGTGTATATCACTACTGAATCTCCTCTGAGAAATCACAGAGCACAGACATCGATCTGAGCCGAGCCGGGTCGGGTCGGGTCGAGAATGGTTTGCGAGAAATGGTAACCATTGAATTTAATATCTGCGATTGAACCGAACCGGGTCCGCTGTGGTGGTTAAAGGGTACGTTCGCGATTGGCATCGGGTCTTTGGCAAAAAAGACCTTTACGTTACACAATTATTGAGGAATAATTAATTATCGCATAAACAGAAGAGATAAGTATATAATTAAGGTATGGTAATAAACGGAAAAATCTGACATGGCCAACTCAGAACCACTTGTATAATGTCCCCACTCCTCCCATATTATTTGTCCTGTAACTGCCATTACATAATTATAATCTGAAAAGACAACCTTATATACACTACCGACTACAACTTCAATGAGATATTTACCAATGTTCTTTAAAAATAAAATAATTTTGGTAAAAAATCATGCAACAACAATACCTAAAAATAAAAATTGCAATAATTTACTCATAATCTAGTAACTAGTATTAGTAAGGTGGAATTAAACGAATTCACGGCCTTTTGGTGTCTATACTCTATAGTTATAATAAGACTAAATTTACGACAGATGTTTTAAATTGGTTGGTGTAAAGTTAAAATAAGATATTTTTCTGATAGTAATATTTTTTACTCGATCAATAAATAGGCGAACATACTTATTGTTTCGTTTATTATTAATAAGTGTTGAATGATCAACAATTTTTTGTTTTAAATTTGTCGGTTTTGAAAAAAATCTATATCTATTCCGCTGATGACTAAATTAGCAAAACGGAACATACGCGGAAAATAAATGAAACAAACGCGGTAACACTCAATGTAAAAACAAAATAAAAAATGAATAAAACGAGAAACCACTTCAAGCAAAAACTTTTCCCACTTTTACCATTTTGAGTTTTGAAACTTTACGGCTCGACCAAAAATATACTAATAATCAAATCACACAAAAGACGCCATTTTTTATTTCTTTCTTCTTTATTTTACAGAGAGAAACCAACCCCAAAGAGACAAAGCCACGATCCGCCATAGCTGTTAGAGATCCCCACCCAAAGCAAGAAAAAAGCAAGAAGAAGCACAAACAAAAATCATGCCTCCAGGTTCTAAAAAAAGGAAAGCAGCCAAGAAAAAGCAAGAAGAAGAAGCATCTTCTACTCTAATCAATCTCAAATCCACCAACCATGGTTTCTTTCTTACAGCCCATTATCTCACTCACTCACTACTTTCTCTCCTTTTGTCTCTCTGTCTGTATCTCTATTATTCAATCACCAACACACGCACACACGTTTAGGCTACCTTTCTTGTTTCTTTCTATTTAGCTTCTCTTTGAATCTGAGTTTTTTTGTTTAACTTCCTTCTCTTTGTTCTGTAGTTTCTTCAAGTTTTGTTTTTTTTTTCTTATCTGTGCTCACTGATCCAAACAAATGGGTATGCTTTCACTTCATTCCCCCCTTAAGAATTGGGGGTTTAGGCTCAGAATCTAGGGATTCAAATCTATAAAATATCTGATCTTTCAGTTACTTTTTAGCATGTTCTCCTTGTTAATTCATCTGGGTTTAATCTTGATTCATGTTTATGGTTGAAGTTGTTTATCTCTGATGCTTTGTTTTTGATTAGTAGCTGTTCCAGTTTTTGTTTACTGTGTTTGTTTCTTTGGATGGTAGTTGGATTTGATCTGAATAAGACAGTGTTAAGTTACTATGTTAGTAATACTGATTGGACTTTGTTAACTGATGTGTTAGATTCGAGAAGCCAAGTGGAAAGGGAGAGCAATGATGATGGTGTTAGCTCTCAGGAAAGCTACAAGAAATCAGGATCCACAGAGGAAGATGCTATTAGAATCGAAAAGGATACTGATGAGCGCATAGAGATCACTGATTCAAGCCATGATCATGACAAGAGCTCTAGTAGCAGCAGTAGTAGCAGCAGCAGCAGTAGCTCGGATGATGAGTCCAGGGAAGTCAAGAAGATAGATGATGAAAAGGAGACTGCTGATTCTGTTCCTGAAGTTATTACTGTGAGTTCTGTGCCTATTCAACCTGTGCCGATCGCTGGAGATGCTCCGTTTATGGGGTGTACTGCTAACGCGATTGTAGAGAATACCGGTTTGCTGGATTCAGCTAATCCTAGTGATCCCAACTCTGGAGAACTGGTTGAAATCTCCCATGTTGATTCAATACCTTCAAACAAGACTGACGAAGAACCTTTGCCTAAACCAACTGAGATTGCTGCTGAAGTTTCTCTTGCATCTGATGAGAGTAGGCAGGCATCTTCTGGTGAAACCCACTCTGATGTGAAAGAAAGCGAGGTAAAAACATCGCCTCTTCCAGAATCCAACGGTGTTCCTGAAGGCAGCAGAGAGTCTGAAGTTGTCATATCTCACGAGGAAGATGTCTTTATTGTTATCCCTTTGGCTTTATCCTTTTTCTTTTTTGGCTTATGTTGGACTAAAATCAGTTTTCTCTCAGGCTCCCGTGCGACCAACACATGGAATTGCGCAAAGAACCTCATGGTTAAGTTGCTGTGGCTTGTTTGATGTGGTCACTGGATCCAGTAGATAAACTCAGGTAAACTCTCTGTTTGAAATGTTGGATGCATAATCTCTGAGCGTTGTGAGCTTCATGAGTCTGTCTACATATATGATTCTTAGATTTATGAATAAAAACCATATGAAAGCATTTCTTTCAGAATTTGTGTAGCATGAGTTTGGTTATGCATCAATGGTACTGTCAAGTAAAGTAGCATCAAACCTGCATTGCTGTCTAAAAAATCACATGTCTTCGAGTCTTTGATGAGTTATAACCTATCTAAATGCAGAAACAGTGTGCTGCCTTATAAACTCGGAAGCTGCAGAAGTGTTATCACGGCTAAGGATTCTCAGTTTCCTCTCTCGATTATCTGGGAAAATTTCAGTAACTTGATGAATGAATGTCTATCAAATCACAAATTTTCGCACATGAAAGAGTACTCGCCTCTAATAGTCTTCATATCAGACATCCCTACTACAGTATCCACTCTTTATAGAAGTTTTTACAGGTTCTTTTGTAGTTTTTCATTGTTTGTCTTTCGATATGTATGATTCCTTGTCTGTTATTGTCTTTGTTCTCTCAGGGTATGAGACTTTGAGACTCTTTACTTTTTCATTTTACTTATAATAATGAGTTCTTGAATTTCAACTGAAGACTCTTTCGCCCAAAACAAGAATAAAAGCATGTTTCATGTAAATGATCACTTCAAACAGAAACATAGCATACCATATGAAAGCATTTTCTTTGAGTCTATATACATCAGCTGCATTGTCAAGTGAGCTGCGGGTAAAAGAAGTAATTAGCCTTAATCATGCATTGTTTGTCCTGAAGTGTTATCGCAGCTAAAGATTCTCGGTTTTTCTTTCGATTACTTGTGATGATACTATACGTGAACATTCTTATCATTCGTATGAAGCATGTGTAAGAAGTTACATTCTTTTGTTTTCTAGAGAAAAAAAAGACTTTACATAAATTCACCAATCAGCTGTTTGACCAAAAACCAAAAAAAAAACACTAATCAATGATCTACAAAAAAAAAAAAAAAAAAAATCTCTGATCCAAGAACACCAAAATTCCAGAAAATGCTTCAAATCATTATTTTTCACTGCTCATGTAATGCCTCTGCTTGAAACAGAGACTGCCATATCTCTACTAAGTAAGATCCAATCACTGATCTCCCAAATCTGTTATCAGCAATGACCCTCTTCATGAGCTTTTCTTTGAGCAATCTATCAGACCTTTCTGACTTTGAAAACGACTCATAATCCGCAGAAACAGATCTGTAAACTCTTTGCTTCATCTCTGCTAGCTTCAGCTCAATCTTCATCAACACTTTTTGGCAATCTTCAAACAGAGAATCCAAATCAGAAAGCTCGAGTCTTTCACATTGGTCTCTTTTCATAGCCCAAACAATCTTTCCCAAGACTCGAGTTGCATCTGCGCAAAGACGAATGAAATCATCATATTGAAAAATAGATTCAGGAAGGTTGACATCATGTTCCTTGTTCCCCTTCTTCCAAATCACTATCTCAAAGACTGCCTCGAGCTTTCTTATGATTACACTTGTACCCTCATCATCTTCATTGACCCCAAATAGCTTTGTAAACATACTGCAATCTCCAGTTCCACCACAAAGAATCTCATTAGGTATCAAAAACATTAATTCCGCCACAAGAAACGACAGCTCCACACCAAATCTAACAGCTTTCCTTCTCCTCTGCATCAGCTCCTTATGTCGTTCCCTCAGTTTCTCATTCATATACAACCGTCTTTTATACTCCAAACAATCATGTTTAGTCACAGTTGATTCTTGGTCAGCTCTCTCTATTTTAACCACCACTGGAGTCATCTTCTTCTTCTCCTTAATATCCTTTTCTTCTTCTTTCACTTCTTCTGTAACTCCAGTTTCGACTTCAGATTCTCCATTAGAGATCCATGAAGAAATCTCTTTCTCTTCCTTCTCAGCTTTCTCTCTCAGTCTATCTCTTATCAGATTCTCAAGCAACCCTCCAAACACATAACCATCTTTAATGTAGTGTAAGTAACTTCCATCTCTCTCAATCTCTTCTAACACCTTGTCAATACACTCATCAATCCGACCACAACCATCAGTACCATTCACCTGTTCTCCAAGCATAGCTGATAACATCTCATCAAAAATCTCGAGAATGTCACCATCTCCTACGTTGCACACCGAAACTTCAGTATCAGTAGAGATTTCGGATTCTTTCACATCTCTCAAGAGCCATTCTATAGCCTCATCAACACGAAACTTATCTTCTTCAAGTTGTTCTACTTTCCCCTCTTCTACACAATCACGTTCTCTATTGTGATCAGGGTTACAAGACACAAATCGATCATCACTTGTATGACCATTGATCTCTGTTTCAGATCTCACAATCTTCACTTCTTCATTGAGAGTATGGACCAAATCTGAATGGGTTAGGGTTTGTGATACCGTACACGTGAAGTCAAGTGGGGTCTTCATTGATTCTCTTCTTCGTGTCTTCTTCACCTTTTTGTTCGTATTCTGCAGTATTGTTGGACTCTCTTCATCACTATCAGCGAGAATTGTCGAAAAGACTGACAATTCTTCGCTCAATTTCATCTGTCGTTTCTGCAATATCGTTGGATTCTCTTCAATATCAGCGAGAATAGATGAAAAAATTGAAGATTCACGACTCATCTTCTTCGTCTTCCTTGTATCACTTTCTCTGATCTCCATCTTCTGGTTCAAACAAGCAGATAGAGAGAGAGGGAGAGAAAGCGAGCGAGCGAGAGAAAGAGAGAGACTTTCTATATGTATTAAGTCGTCTTTTTATACAAAGACGTTTGAGCTGACTTAATGATTTGTTAAAGCCGCTATTTATACGACAAGCCAAACGTAAACACACATATTCACGCTTCTCTTCTACATTATCACAGTACCAAATCTCTTAGAAGCAATTCGTCGAACAGATTAAGTGCTTCTCCTTTAAATTGTTCTGCATTGTTCATCCCATGGAGAAAAGTTACCCTTTTTAAAAATCCATGAGTGATTAATTCTAAACCTTTGCACCTAAGGAACCTGAACAGTTGAAAAATGAAGCGGCTTGCCTCGCCATCCTCTTAAAAACCCCACTCTTAACAATGTATCGTCACGTTGGCTCTCGATAGGTTTCAAAGACGAAAGGTCAAAACTTTTCTTCACCTGTTTCCATAACCAGTCAAGATCCTCTCCGTGAAAATTGCCCATGATCAGTTATGGTAAAATTTGAGAAGCTACATATCTGAAAAGGGACAATAGAACTCGTGTCTGAGATTTCAATCTATGTTCCTTGCCGGAGAAGAAACGTGCAGTCAGTAACTCAGTATGTGGCTAGCGTGTTTGTTATCCATGACAACAAATCAGAGAGCTCCTCAGCTCGATTCAGCATCGCATCGTTTCTAATATCTCCAGAGTTGCGATTGATATTGGCAGCGTCCTTGGAGCAACAAGCTGATGCGTTTTACAATTAAGAGACTCATCAGTTCAAAACTTTAGATCATCCCATTAAGACTGTTCTCTGAAAATACTGATTCTGACAAAAAAGGTTCATTCTTTTGACATGTAAATGAATGTGAAATAGTATTACCGAAAAGTCTCAACTTGATCTGTTTCATACTAAAACAAAAACTCATGTTTGTTAACTCCAAACACAAAACAACAGTAACCAAAATCTGTCTTACAACAAAATGGGAATGCAACAAAACAGAAGAAACGACTAAATATCTCAAGTAGGCTTTTGTTTCTTCACTCGTCTTCTTGGCTACGGAGCCTAGCAAGCCTGTTGGTAACAACAATGTCTAGCTGAGAAGCTCTCTCAACAATTGCCTTCCTCTTCTTAGTGGAGACGTTGTGAGCAATCTCAGCACAGTAAGTCCTGTTGTGCATCATCAACAACTCGAGTTCACTTGTGTTGTGAACAACGAATTTCTTGAATCCATTGGGAAGATAGTGACGAGTCTTCTTGTCAGATCCGTAACCAACATTGGGCATCAAAGTGACACCCTTAAACTTTCTCCTCACCCTGGAATCAATACCCTTAGGCCTCCTCCAGCTTTCCTGTAAATCCACAACCAAATTATGCAAAATGTAAGAAACCAAAACCTAAACACCACTAATATATCAAGAAAGCTAAGCTTTTTCCAAAATCAACAGCTGTTTCTACTAGAATGATCATTTTCATGGACTTAAGAGGCCAGTCAACCAAACTTTAATCAACCTCAAATTATTCTACAATCCAATGGACAACGTTGATGAGAGTACCCTAAACAGAATAATAGATAGGACATAAGAGACTCCAATTAAAAAATAAAACTTGAATCAAACTCAGTCTAATCTGGAAAATCGTATGAATGCTGTTCATGAAAGAGCTTACTCAGGCTAGCTAAAATCATCATTTTCATGATTGAATTCAGATACTTAAATCAGCAATCATATTGCAACCTAAAGTTGAAAGCTTTAAGATTCAGCTCCCTCTAAAAATGCCAAATGAATAAAACCCAGAGACTGATCTTCTTAAATCTTAGGAAGAAACAAGTATAAATGTTGTGAAATTGATTGAGGAAAACGAAGCGGATACCTTAACGGTGATTCTACGGTCGCTCTGGGGTCTGATGAACTTAGCAGACCTCTTCTTCACGACCTTCTTGGTAAGCAACGGGACCGCCATTTTTGCTTCTTCCTAAGATCTCTCTCAACGCGACTCCGCAAACAGCCGAACAAACGTGAAAATGCTTTTTATATAAGCGTACACTAGGGTTTCTGACATTTCATTCTAAATGGGCTCATGTTGGGCCCAATAGAAGTTCTTTTCAGGCCTTTGTATGCTTCTTAAGTACTTAATAATCCATGTCGTTAATTAAATAGAAATTGTTGGGAAAGAAATTAAATAGAAATTAATATTATACAAAGCCATTAAAACAGAAAAGTGAAAACATACATTTACTTGCATAATTGTTTCTTACTCTTGCACTAAGTTTTTCTCTGAGTATTATTATTCTCAACACTCGAATGTGATTATGTTATCACTAATATACTACATGTATATTGCATAATTACGAAACTGAATACGAAAAATTGGAATGTTTTAAACAGAATACAACTTTTTCTAAAATTAAGAAATGAATATACATGAAAACATGTGTATATATTATAACACCAAATATAAAGCCATATTAAAGAAAGAAAAAAGTGTTTGAAACTAAACAAATCCAATACTTAGATATTAAAATATTTTAACCAAAGGATAAAAGGGAGTAAATATTAGTGATTATTATAGCAAAAAAAAAGTATGAGTGATTTCATATCACATATCCTATAGTAGTTAGTTTTCTCTAAAGATACAAAAGTAAATATAATATATATCATAAAAATAATATTTCATAATTATTTATTTATTAAGTTTCCAAACTAAAAAATGTAAGATTTGTGTTTACAAAACAGAACATGAGTTTCTATTGTGTTTCATTTAGAAATAGACAATAACAAAATAATCTCTATTGTACAAAATTTGATGTGATCATCAAATGATACTTAGACTAGTTTAGATGTAACTGTGACATTCATCGATTATATTACGATTACTAATCTTAATCAGTAAAAAATATATTAGTTTTTATATCATCTTTTTTTTTTTTGGTCAAATAGTTTTTATATCATCTAAGATAAAATCATGGTAATGAAAATTCTTATCATCAAGTTGTAAGACCAAACCAGATGCTAATACCATACACGAGATGTAGTTTTTAGGATTTTAGACATAATTGAATTAATTATTTTTATGCATATGTACTGTACTTAGTTTAACTCAATCTGCTTTTCAAATAAACGTTTTCAAAATCCTATTGACATAATAATAATAATAATAATAATAATAATAATAATAATAATAATAATAATAATAATAATAATAATAATAATAATAATAATAATAATAATAATAATAACAATATGCAAACATCTACCTGCAAAAGATATTTTTATATTTTGTGTTAGTGTTTTTCATCAATATTTTTTTATAAATAACTTAAATAAATTTTTCAACAACCTTCTACAGCCTAAAACTTACGGCTGTATCTTTTAGCATTTCTACAAAAAAAACGAAAATATAATAAAGTGGCTGTATACTTGAAAAATAAATGTAAAGTACGATTGGTGTAAAAAAGGAGCTATGAAAAGAATCTACCGCTACTACCAATCAAAGTCATAATTTCATATTTCTTACATTGAAAAGTGTTTACAAGATTTTTATGTTTGAACATTTTTAAATCTAATACATTGGTTTCGGTTTGTTAAGTATTGCTATTTTTTGTTTCAAAATATTGAAGAAAGATGCTATTATTTTATGTAGAAATTTAAACATAATTGCCAATATTACATATCAGATTATTAATTAGATAAATAAAAATTTATATATTTTTTCATATCACTTTTGTTGAGTTAAGAAATGAATGCAATTATTTTGTTTAAAGCACACCAACCAGAAATGCTAGTTTCCATCATATTAGAACACTTAACTCAAATAATTTTATGTGAACACATATTTTAATCAAGTAATAGATTAATTTGACTAATTTCTCAAATAAAAATAATTAATCTGAAAATATTGACTAATTTATAAGTAAAAGATAACTAATCAGATTAAATTTTGTCGGACTCCAAAAAAGTTTAAATAGAGTTGAATTTATAGTTGGAAAAGAAAAGGAGTAAAATTAGTTCCCCACTCGGTTCCTTTGGTTTACACTCCAATCCAATCATTCGCCGCTCTTCCGCTCATTATACTCCCTCTCTCTTCTTCTCCATCCAATTTTAAAGATTCTATCTTTATTTTTTTTATTTTTATAAAGAATATCTAAAAATCACGAGTAATCAAAAATTATTTATTTTTCTCTCTGTATAATAATTTACATATAAATATACAGAGAGAGAGGGGTTTCTTCTGTATTTCGTGGAGAAACAAACAAAACCAGATTCTTAAGTAAGTTTCTTTTTTCCCTTCCTGTAAAGTTTTGATTTTTTCAGGTTCCAATTTTTTTAAAAAAAGTTTCAATTTTTAAACTAATTGATACTTTGTATTCCTTTGGCTCTCGCGGCAATGAGTTTGTGTTAGTGATCGTGCTTTAAAAAAAAAAAAGGGTGAAGTAGAAAAGTTGGTTCCTTTATTTTTGATCTTAAACGGTTGGGATGATCACAGTTAAGTTAAGCTTCGTCTAGATTGAAATTAGTGTTCTTGTTCTGTTTTTTAGTTGTGCTTTTTTTAATTGATTGTCTGATCGTTTCTATTCAATTACTCTGAATTAGCTGTAGCTGCACCAAATGTTTTAGGTCTTGGTGTTTCTGTCCCTGATGATGATGATGATGATTTATCATAATTCGAGTTTGATTAGGGTTTAAACTCAGGGGAATCAAGGTTTAGGGTTTATAGAGATTTGTGATTTTTATTGAAATATTTATTGCTAATGAGTTTATTTCATCCTCTGTTCTTGAAGATTGTATCCAACTTCTTAACTAAGATTTTTTTTATGTCCATTGCACTGTAGTTACTTGTTTACCTTGATAATACTTCTCTGTTCAATTAAGAAGTCATCTTTCCATAATTTGCCTGCATCAGGGTTAAGGAGAATCCTCTTTTCGAAGCAGAATTAATTGAAGTGAAGGGCTTATGCAATGAATATCCCAAATGGAACCTTTTCAAGATCTGATCATCTCCATGCTTCAACTGATGCCTCCCTCTTTTCCAGCTCTCTACCTGTCCTTCCACACCAAAACCGTATGTACTCAAAACTGTTATCTCGAGTAACCTATATCGCGGATAATTCTGTAATCTTTAACTCTTGCAGTTGATCCTCGCGAGAGCTACCATCAGTCTGTTGATGAAACTGCTTCCGGCTTAAGCCAGTTCAATGGAGGCATTGGTAATATGCTCGAAGTTGGTGACTCACATCCAATCGGAAGCATGCTTCCCGATGATGAGGAAGAGCTTTTCGCTGGTCTAATGGATGATTTAAACTTAAGTTCTTTGCCAGCTACGTTGGATGACTTGGAAGATTATGATTTATTCGGTAGCGGAGGAGGTCTTGAATTGGAGACTGACCCACATGACAGTCTAAACAAGGGATATCCAAGGCTGGGGTTTGCTGATTCTAACGTTGACAATGGTATGCCTCAAAACATATTCCAGAATGGAGTGGTTTCGATTGCTGGCGAACATCCTTATGGTGAACATCCTTCGAGGACTCTGTTTGTTCGGAATATTAACAGTAATGTTGAGGACTCTGAATTGGAAGCTCTTTTTGAGGTAATTCCTCTTTTGTAGTCTTATAAGTGGAATGTTTATAGGGTGAAAGATTGGATCTTTATGTTGGTTTTCCCATTCTTGGCAGCAATATGGACACATCCGAACACTCTATACAGCCTGCAAGCACAGGGGATTTGTAATGATTTCATATTACGATATCCGTGCTTCTAGAGCAGCTATGCGAGCATTACAAGGCAAACTGCTTAAACGGAGGAAACTTGACATACATTTCTCAATCCCCAAGGTTTCAGATTCTTGAATTCTCTTATATATGTATGTATGGATCGCTCTTGCATTCTCTTTTTTTTTTAATATACATTTTTTCCATTTTATAGGATAATCCGTCAGAGAAAGATGTTAACCAAGGAACTCTTGTGGTTTTCAACTTGGCTCCATCTGTTTCCAACAAAGACCTTGAAAACATATTTGGTGTTCATGGCGAGATCAAGGAGGTGATGCGTTTTTTTATTCTGTTGTTTCTATTTGTTTTTTAAGGTTTTAGATTTCTCTCATGACCTGCATAATGGTTAACGTTTGTGTAAGTTATTGTTCTGACAAAGCAGATACGGGAAACACCAAATAAGAGGCATCACAAATTTGTTGAATTTTTTGACGTTAGATCAGCTGATGCAGCTCTCAAAGCTTTGAACAGGACTGACATTGCTGGGAAACGTATCAAGCTTGAGCACAGTCGTCCTGGTGGTGCTCGTCGAAAGTGAGTTTACTGACACCAAAGAAACTGACAGTAAAGAAACTGTGGACTAATTTGCTGTTTTGCTTTCTTTTCTCAGCATGATGTTTCAACTGAATCCAGAATTGGAGCAAGATGATTCCCACAGCTACCTGAATCATGCCGAGTCACCTTTAGGAAGCTCTCCTGTAGGGAACTACTGGTCTAACAGTCCTATTGATCATCCTCTACAAACTTTCAGTAAGTCTCCAATATATGGAAACTTGAGTCCAACAAAAAACATCCGTTATCCAGAATTTTCGTCGATTCTGCATTCTCAAGGAGCAAATCCGATTAAGGCTGCATCGGTGAGCAATGACCAAGGAAGAAGATTTAGCCACTTGGATCACTTGTTTTCTAGCAGCTATAATAATGCAGGCCATACAGCTTCTACCTTTCAGCAACCACAGTCGTTTGGATCTGTTTCTTCATTTGGTTCTTTGAACCCACAGCCGAGTCACGTAGAAACATTATCTGGATCAGAATTCCTGTGGGGAAGCCCTAGCTCTTCAGCCTGGCCTGTGAATCCATACTCTTCAAACGGACAAAATCACAGGTTTCCTTACTCAGCTCAGAAAGGGTCCCTCCACCAGCTCCATCATGTCGGATCTGCGCCATCTGGATTCTTCCCGAGGTCTCTTGAAACTTCATCAATGGGTTCAGTCGCTTTCCGAGGAGCAAATGGTAATATGAATGCTCAAAGAAACTTGCGTGAAACTACTTCTCCAAGTTTTAAAATGTTGCCTTCTCCAAGACGTAGTCAATTGTTTACTGGCAATGGCTCTTACCCGTGGCCCGTTTCTACAATGGCTTCCATTGACGACCCATTGGAGAATGGAAGGAACCAACAGCTTGATAGTAATGCTAACCAAGTCGATAGCAGGATACAGTTTCAGCTTGACTTGACTAAGATTATGAGGGGTGAAGATTCACGGACAACCTTGATGATTAAAAATATCCCTAATAAGTAAGAGTTATCCTTTGATTGTTTTTTTGGTCCGCTTAGTTTACCGTTGTGGGATCTGAAAGAACTGACATTTTTCCTTGTTCGCAGGTATACCCGGAACATGCTGTTAGCTGCCATCGACGAAAAAAACAGTGGAACTTATGATTTTCTATATTTGCCTATTGATTTCAAGGTAAAGACCACTTGTTGCGTGTTGAATCTTTGACATCATGTGATCTAAGTTCGATGATGCTCTTTTTGTTTTCTGTGTGCAGAATAAATGTAATGTGGGATATGCATTTATCAATATGGTGTCTCCTAAATTCATCGTTGCATTGCACGAGGTACAAAACCTGATTGAGTCTTTAGTGTTGTTTCTGAGAGATTTTGGGGATAAACTCATGCTTCTGATCTGTTTCATAGGCCTTTAACGGAAAGAAATGGGATAAGTTCAACAGTGAGAAAGTAGCTTCCTTGGCTTATGCACGAATCCAAGGTAAAGCTGCGCTTATCGCTCACTTTCAAAACTCAAGCTTGATGAACGAAGATAGGAAATGCCAACCTATTGTCTTTGATGGATCAGAATCTAGATATCCGGTAAACAATCTCTTACAACAAACACTTGATCTTAAAATGATCATATTCATATGTTCTCTGATTTAGCTGATGAACTGGTTGACTAATACATCCATATTCGAACTAGATCGTGGAGAATTCGCAGCTCGAGGCATCAAATTCAACAGTTTCTCATCCTCTCGTCAGTGAGAACACGCATCAAAGCTGACAGTCAAGTGAATCCCAGTATTGCATCTGGTTTAAAACGTAAATATCAGTTTTTAGGATGAGATGATGATGATGATGAACGGGTATAGACTACATAGCACCTTTAGAGAATTTCCTGGTTTACTCAGTTCCTTCTAGTTTTTTTTTTTTTTTTCTTTTGGTTTCCGGAATCAGAAAGGTTTCTTTGATCTAGACATGTAATTTGATGGTTGTGTATTGTTTTTGTCTTGGTCGACTAAATCATCTATCCAAGAAACGTGTACATAAATATACTTAAAAGATACATCTTATTGGTCATAAATAATGAAACCTTTGTTCTCATTGATACATTTGGTTATATTCAGGCATTGAAACTACCAAATTTCATTAAATTTTACTATGCCTTATTGTAACTCAAAAATTTCTACTTTATGCTTGAAACAGCCTCTGTTCCTCTAGATTTAACACCTAACATTGTCTTGAATTGAAGATCCACCTGGAAGAAACAACGTTCCTCTTCTCGAACATAACTCACACGACCATTCATCTGCTCCAGCAGTTTCCGTGAAAGCTTAAGACCTAAACCATCAGGCGTGACCCATCTATCTCCAGTCTCAAACATATCACTTAGCATCTCTGAAGGAAGTCCTTTACCTGGATGCGTCATCCTGTCATCAAACAACATCAAACATTAACTTAAAATCTGCAAAACTGCTCCATTGTTTAGTTTGAAACACATTCATAATCTGCAAAAATTGTTGCATTTTCGGTTTACACACACAGAATATGTACAAAGGTTGTTTCAGTCGCTGTTTACCTGAACTGCAGATGGATATAGTGGGCATTGTCACGTGCAAGCTCGTGGACTGGTGAGACATTGATTCCTATCCAACTATCTGGAAACGGGGCATGATTCACAATGTTGCGCAGAATATCAGCAAGAATGAGCTGAAGCTTTACTCTGTCACCATAGAGAGGCAGAGTTTTGATCTCTTCGGCAACTTCAACCCTGAGTTGTGAGTTCCTCTCTCTCAACATAATCATCACTTGGCTAATGATTGTGTCCAAGATGCTTTCAACTCGAAACTCCTCTGTTTCCAATTGCAACTTGCTGATATCATTAAAAAACATTTGTATTCAAAATCAAAATGTAAAAGCAACAACAATGGATGAAGATCCAAAATGTTAATGCTTTACCCTTCCTCTATGCTTTTCAAATCTGTGCCTTCGATTATTGTCGTGATCTGCTTCTCACAAGCATCACTAGTCTCCAGAAACTGCCTTTGGCTAGCTGAAATCTCTGAGGATTCAAGAAGCTCATGTGAAAATCGGATACCATTGAGAGGATTCTTGATTTCTTGCCTTATGTAAGTTAATTCGTCGAGGCTTTGAGCACTCTCTTTCAGTTCTGGGCAGCTCAAACCCGATTCTTGATTGATAATCTGCAAGAAGAAGAAACATCTGATAACTTTCCCTTCGGTGTTTGTGCTCTTGTTCGCGGTTATGGATGCTACTATGTACTTCCCTTCCTTATTAAAGAACTCAATCAGTGAACTCTCTGGAACATTATGACCAGAAATTCCTTGGTACAGAGAGATCAAGAATTTTGTGAGCGAATCTTGGCATTTCACTTTACAAAAAACTCCAAAGACTTCACCGGGTAGCATTTTTCCAATCACCTCATGTTTTGACCATCCCGTAAGCTTTTCCATGGCTGCATTCCACTCTGAACAACAAGCATTCTCATCTGAGGCGAAAATCGGTGGAATCAACGGATTTAAGCTTTGGACAATAGTCTTGTAATCTCCTTGCAATCTAATGAACTTATCTGTTATCGCTTTCTCACTAGTGATGTCTTGACCAACAAAGCAGACGCCAATGACATTTTCAGTATAATCCCTGCTCGTGCATGAATTCACGAGAACACACACATCAGAAGAGGAATCTGGATGATTGTTTTGGCCAAACTTTTTCAGTTTTAGCATTACGCCTTTCTCCTCCTCACCTGAGAATCAATGTTTTTGTTAGTTAATATAACTCATAACATGAACGTTGTATCAAGAAAAACTTCTTTTTATAACCTTGTAGAGCTTTGGATAACAGACTTTCAAGAGCTACGCGTGATTCCTCTTGAACAATCTCATCGGCAAGTGACTTCCCCATGGCTTCACTAGCTAACAATCCTGTCATTTCAGCGGTTTTCTTGTTCCAACCATTGATACATCCAGAAGAATCAACACCAAAAATAGGTGCAGTTGCAGTTTCAATCACCCTGACCATTTCACACACAAAAGAAGTAAGCTCATTAGCATCTCTTGCCACAACATTACCAGACAAAACTGGCCTGGAGCTGGTAAATGACTCTCTCATTATCAGCCTCAGGGAATGGATAGCATCAAGTTCTGAGATTTCCCACGGCAAGCTTTTGCTCTTTGCAACTTCAAGAAACGCTTTGAATGATGACCTGGGATGCATTCTTCCGGCATCATCTTTATCCTTAGGGTGATGTTTAGCTCCTCCCCATTTGATTGCACGTGCAGTATTGGATCTGAACCAAAGTAAGTAATCTTTTGAAGAAATTCCCGCGGCAGCGACACCACAAACCGCATCTCCAAGTGAGATGGCACCAGGGTATCCCGCATCCACCAAACTATCAGTTGTTAACCCCGTCGAGTCATCACCATGATTCTCCACCAGCCAAGTCACCAAGTCTATAACTTGCGCCTCACTAGGAGTAACACCAACCAACCAACATTTTCCTTTGTAATATAATGCAGCTCCATCACATTTCACAAGGTCCATAATACCCGGAGATTGTGTCACAATAGCAGAAACAGTATCACGGAGAAGCATGTCGCACAACAAGGTCTGCGTCCGCATAGCCTTCTTCTCAGCTAACTGTGATGCTAACTGAAGCTCCATTTGAAGCTGAAGTCCAAATGCTTGCATCAGAAACTCACAAGCATACCGTAATGGGAATGGAACGTATCTAGGAGAACAGTGATGGCCTACAACTAATCCCCAAAGCTTGCTTGAATCTTTGCCTTTTATCACAATCGCGAGTGCAAGGGAAGCCATAGAGCCCATATTTGCCATATATTGCGTGTGGCATCCATGAGGAGCTCTTAGAGTAGAATTGACTAAACAAAGTGGTCTCTTGAGTTCCTCACTCTGAACAACCTTTACCGGAGTTGCATTGCAATCACAAATCATTCGGACACGGTTTTGTTTGAACAAGAACCGAGCTGCCTGAGGAATATCAGTTGCAGGGTAATGTAATCCCAAATAAGGCTCCAAATCCGATCTTCTGATCTCAGAAACAACTTCACCGTGATCATCTTCATGAAACTGATAGACCATAACACGGTCATAACCGGTAAGTCTCTGAACATCTTCCACAACAGTATCACACAAAGCACCAATATCTCCTCCAGGAAGTGACTGCAGCCTAGAAATGGCCCTAACGGCGAGCTTTTGAGACTGAACTGCACCTGCTAGGGTCAAAGCCGGGTCACCAGATTTAGCAGGCTCCAAATCCATTACAATCCCCGCATCAATCCTGTGAAGTATAGCATAAAAAGGCTTCTGGGTGGTCCTAGAATGGACCAAAACAGGATTCAACAACGAAATCTCCGTAAAGGTAGTAGCTTTAGCCAAAGAAGCTCCAGAAGAAGGCGTGAAAAGCGTCCTTGCATCGGTTCCAATCAAACCCTTAACCTTACTAACCTCCCCACAATGAGAGCTCGAAGCAAGAGACAACAAACCAAGGAACTCAGCACAGTTCTCACTAACACCAAGTATCCTAAAAGTAGGTTCTTCCACAGCAATCAAACAACCAAAAGGCTGAACAAGACCGCCTCTTTGGATGTTAGACAAATAAGCAGTGATGTGCTCGTCAGGAACGTAATTGGGTGGCGAAATGACAGATTTGGAGTAGTTAAAAGACTTGCCAGAGTAAATGGAGTGATCGAAATCAGCAAAGAGACCAGCATCGACAGAGTATTGAGAAGTATTGGATTTAAGAGGCTTAGAATCGCCAAGAGGTTTCATGTTGCTTGCAGCTGATGAAGAGCTCTCAAATCCCATAGCTTTGGGGAAAGTCTAGAGTGAGTTTTGATCAGAAGAAGAAGAAGAAGAAGAAGAAGAAGAAGCTGATTCTTTATCATTTGCAACAAGAGACAGAGAGTGAGAAAAGTAAATAAAGGTTTCTTTTTTTAATTATGTCGTTGATATTTGTGGTGGATTCGTTTTACCACCTCAAGATTCTTCTTTCTCTTACATAGTTACATGTTTTGTTTTGCTTCCTTCAATGCCTTTTTTTTCTTTTGCTGCTCTGTTTGCTTCTCTCCCACACGTACAGATTGTTCGGTGACCACCGATTAACTTTGCCTTTTTAAATTGTGAGGTTATTTTAAAGTACTCTAAAATTGTTTCTGGTTATATATCAAACCACCATATTGAACTTTGACGGCAAGATGAAATTCTCAATCTATTGAACAATTGGCTAATGTCTTTCTCATATTTAAGTGTCGACCCTCATCAAAAATTTCAACTTTTTTGGTCAAATTTTTCAACTTTGACATGTCCTCGTAACATCACTGAGCATTCAGTATTCTATATTCACTGATTAAATTCAGAATCTGCAATCAACATACCAAACAAGAACAATGAGGGTCCATGTAAAACTTGGTATAAAAGTATAATTGTTGTCTTCCTGTAATCTAACTTATATACGAAGATGTTACAAGTTCCAGTGTAAAGGTTTTACCGTTTACATATTGGCATGTTTGTTAGGGAGATAACCATTAAGAAAAACTGAAAAAGACATTTTAACACAGAGAAACAACAATGGCTTTATACCAAAAAAATTCAGGTCACTTCCTTACAGCGATAGCTAAATTTGTATAAGAAATTCAAAATATGCATTCAAGGTATAGAATGCAAAATTGATTGTGGCTGCTCTCATCAGCTCCCCACCTAGGCATTTCCCAGTGCACATTATTTTATGCTACAAATATTTGAGGACAGTCATTTTTCAGATTACTTAATATTCAATGAAAGATTACTTAAAGCAAAATTGAAAGAGTAAGAGAAGAATACCTTGATCAGTTCCAGAATACCGTTCATCATCCTAACAGATCAAAAAAATTTCAAATGAACACAAACTCAAAACTCTTATCCAGCTCAAGTCAACCAATATTTTGAAGTTTGAACATGTTTAGTGGGCTTAGGCCCATATGATGTGTAGGCCTTCAACTACGTCGTTATCCAGTATTTCCCTATTATTCAATTAATATTTTAAAACTATCAGATTCTTTCTTTCCACGTGTTATTATTAGCGCGTGAACTTCATTGACAAAAAAAGAGGAAACAACTTTATTTTTTCTCAAAAAAAAAAAAAAAAAAAAAAATCAAATCTCAATCTCAATCTCAATTATTATTATTTTAAGTCTTTTTTAAATCTTAATCTCAGCAACAAACAACACCTGTTCTAAATTAATTTTTGTTTCATCATTATCCAAAAAACTATACATGTCTTAAAATGATATATGATAAAAATATATAAAGTTATTAAATACAATTAAAAAAGTAATTAACCTACTAAAAGAAAGTTGTTAATTACCATTTTTGATTAACATAGCTTTTCTAAAAATTTGAATCTTTTTCCATTTTTCCTCCACAAAACCAATTTATCCCCAAACCCAAAGAGGAACTCAATAAAAAGAGGGATTTTTTTCTGTTTCTTCTCTTCTTCTTCTTCTGATACTTCGAAGCCAATAGCAAGAGAACAAAGGAGAGAGAAAAACAAATAGAACGAGTTTTCTATTCATATTTGATTCGTGCTTTTTTGTGTGGGTAAAATGGACGGTAGAGGTGGTGGTGGGGGTGTTAGTAACGGGAACGCGGGTGTTCCGGCGTCTTCGAGAAAGGTTGTTCAGAGTTTGAAGGAGATCGTGAACTGTTCTGAGTTAGAGATCTATGTGATGCTTGTTGAGTGCGATATGGATCCTGATGAAGCTATTTGTCGCCTCCTTTCACAAGGTTCTCTCTTCAAGCTTCCATAAGCTTTTTTTAAAAAAAAAATTTGTGTTTTCTGAGTTTTAATTTCGAATTTGTTTCATTGAAGCAGTTTTCATCTTCTTCTTTTTTTGCCTTCTCCTTTGATTTTAGTTGCTGAAGATATTGATTATTTGTTTTTATACTGTTGTTTTGTTTTAATTTTTTTTCAGATACTTTTCACGAGGTGAAGAGCAAACGAGAGAAGAAGAAAAAGGTTTGTGAATATAACATATAACAACAACTAGTTTACTTATAGGCGAAATGTTTTGATCTAGTGCCTAATAGCTTCAGTTGATGATTTTTCATTTGTATTCTTTTCATTTATTTATTATTTTGGACAGACCAAATATCCTGTAGACTCTTGGACGCGTTACAACACCTCTCGAGGTGGCAGAAACAAGTATAACTCTAATGGTAAGAAGATGCAAATTTTACAAGAAAGTATTTTCCTTTTTCTTAAGTTGGTTGCGGATTTTTTGGTTATCTCAAAAAGTGGCTAAACTTGTTACTGAATTTTGGTTCAGAAATGGGGAATGCTCAAGGTGTACCAGCAAACATAAGAGAAAAGGGAGCACGTAATCATTGTGTTGGCTCTTCTTTCTCATCTGGTGTTCTTGGACTCCAACCTCCATCAAACAGGTTCTTACCTTCATGTGGTCTTTGGTATCTTATTTGTAGAAAATGCCATTATTTTGTGTTATCTTATTATGCTTTTGCTTTGTAATGATCCTCCAAGCTCTAAAGTCAAAAAAGCACCTACAAGATCAAATGATGCAGTACCTTCGTCGTCCCTGCCTACTCATACGTCTCAATCCGCTTGGGTTAGTGCTAACCCCGGGAAAAGAACTATGGCTGATATTGTTAAAATGGGTAGGCCTCAACAACAGAATAATATTGATGTGCCTCGTTCTTCAAAGGCTCAAGAGAGCAGAAATAAAGCTCATATGAAGGATGAATGGCCTTCAATTGAGAAACAAGATGTTTCTCATCAGTCATCCTCTGTCTTGAAACCAGCTGCTGAATCTAAGATGTCTGCTAACCAATTTAGTGAATCTCAACATCTGGATGAGACCCTTTTGGATAACCGCCACCAAGAAACAACAACATATCCAATTGGGTCTCCTCCTAATGCGGATCACGATCTGCCTGCTTCCGTATCAAGCAAAAATTTGGTAAATGGTGATTCTAGAGACCCCTCAGATTGTTCTGATGAAAATAACAAAGTTAAAAGCCATCTTTATGAGGAAAATGGAGGTGAGATCATTTCTGTATTGGTCTTTTTCTTAGTTTTTCCTTCATCTTTTGTCCATATCCCTGAGATTTGTTTCCTTTTGTACATTATTTTCAGCCGAAGATGTTTCTACATATGTTGCTAACGGTTCCCACCAACTTACTATTGAAAATGAAGAAGCATTACCAAAAGAAGACAAACCTGCAGTGATATTCCCCAATCACATACAAATCCATAAATCAAAATGCTCACACATAATGTTTGGTAGTTTTGGCTTTGGGATAGGATCATGTCAAGTTAGTGGCTTGAATGATAACTTGGATGAACCACTAGAAACAGAGGATGATTCATCATTCAAACATACCGACACTGACTTCTCTGGAGAGGATGAAGAACAACTGAGAAATGATGCTACTAATGAACAAATTTCCAACCAAATTGATCCAAGTACCCGAGATCACCATTCTGCTACAGATTCTGATAAAGAATCTGTACAACATGAACCTCCTCAAGAAGAAGGTGATCAATACAAGTTTTCATCTTCGACAGATTATGGATTTGTAAACACCCAACAGTTGAATCCTTCATCAGGAACAAATCCTCAAATCCAGAATCTTGACACCTTCCCCAGCGTAATGGTAAAAACTAAACACTCTTAAAGCTTTTAAAATCATCACACGATCTAAAGATCACTGATAATACTTTTAACAATCTCTATTATTTTTTCAAAATGTTCAGCACCAAGGATATACAAGTTCGTCACCCAACACTCTAATCCCTTCAAGCATTCAAGATGCAAGAGAATTTTATCTTCACTACTCGCCTTTCCCAACAAAATACAACACGGCTGCTCCCTCTTCACATGTTGGTCCAACAATTTCAATGGTAGAGGTAACCAAATTGCGTCTTCTCGTCCATGTAAACATGTTTTACTTTCCCTTAATACCATTGCTTACTCATATTTGTTTGTAGGAATTGAGAGCTGCGAGTATTTCTACTCAAAATGCAGTGCCCAATGCAGGACAACAAGAAGCAGCTCTTACACAACACCTTGCCTTAAACTCATTCTCTCATCAGCCAAGGATGCCTTTGGGGCATTATAGTAATTTGATAAGCTATCCATTCATGACACAAAGTTACAACCCTTACATGCCTTCAGGTTTTCAGCAAGCGCTTCCCACTAATAACCAACAGTCCTTAGCTGCTATGCTTCCGCAATACAAAAGTCAAGCAACTGCTCATCATGTTCCTCCTCCCTCTGTCAACGGCTTTGGAGGTAGCGCTGCTTCAAGTAACAACTTCTCTTTGAACCCCGCAAGTGCTGCAAACTCGTACGAGGATGTTTCGAGCTCACAATTTAAGCATATCAACCATTTGGCATCACCACATCAGCATAAGGTAAACCATGACATTCATCTCATATTGTAATCTTGTTAATGTGAGTTTTTCTTGTAAATAGCATCTTTTAAGTTAAAATTGTATTTTCTTTAGTAAAAATGAATTTCCTCTATAGTTACAGTTTGGTTTTGGCTGGGTAAGGTTTATTTCGATGTTGATCGTGTTTGAGAGAAAGTTTTTACTTTGGAAGTCTTTTGATCAGTGTTATTTTTGCATGTCTCTGTTTTCCAAATCTTAACCAATATGGGTTTTCTTTTTTTTTTGCTTTGATCTGCAGAACGAAAACTCAGCAGCATGGCATCAAGGAAAACAGCCCAACTTGCGAGTGACTATGGGAAACGGATATTACAGCTTCCCAGGTCATCAGAATCAACATCTTCATGGTTTCCGTCAAACACAACAATTGCAGCAACAACATCAGTTGTCTCAACATCAACAACAACATTTTGGAGGACATGGCTATGTTAGTCCTTACCATTCACAAGCTGCAATGTCGTTAGACCATCTCCATTACCAACACCAACAATGACAAAACGTTCTAAACAGACCCAATAAAAGTACTGATATGAATTCAACCAATAAGAAAATATGATGTAAAATATAATTTGTCAAAAATATAAAATGCATTAAGTTTTGCATAGAAAAATGAAAATATTACTTATGATGAAACAAAAAATTTTTGGCTAAAATATTATTTAAAATGAAATAGAGAGAGTATCTTTTATATTCTCTATGTTTCACAAAAACTTTCATTTTAACAATTTCACACAAATTAAGAAAACATTTAATTTTACATATATATACTTATTTAATAAATAGTTAATGGTTTAATTAGTTATGAGTTGAAGGTAAAATTTGGAAATTTAATGTATAATTATTTTGAAAATGTAAAATAACACTCTTTGTAAAATAAGAATAAAAATTTAAAATGACACTTTTGCTGAAACAAAAGAAATATGCATCTATTTTCTTTTACAGTTTTTTGCTATTTTATAAAAGTTTATCGTGCTTCTATATTAGCTTTGTGTGTATATGTTACCAAAATCAAACCCATTACCCAATATACTACAAATAGTTACAAAAAAAAGAATTGCATATTTTCAAACACGAGATTAGAAAAATGAAAAAAAAAAATTATGAATGAAGACATCTTAGCTAATCATGTGTGTTCTTCTTGTTTGGTACTAGCCCTGGGCAAAATATTCGTTAGATTCGCTTCGTTTCGATATTCGTGTCGATTCGATTCGAAAAATTCAAATATCTATAAGATATTGAACCGAAGCAAATATGAAAATTTAGTATTCGTAAAAACCGAAGCAAATAACAAATATTGATTTTTTAGTACCGAATATCCGCTTCGCTTCGTATATTTATATATATGTATAAATATAAATAATTATATAATACATATAATATATATAATATGTGTATTTATAGATTTGGGTATATATCTAATAGGCCTATTATTCAAATTGTTATATTTTGGCTCGCTGGATTTTTTTTTTGTGCTAAATGGTGTTTTTAAGCAAATAAAACTTTACTAGAAAAATCATTATTAAAAATAAAATGTGAGAATTCTATGGACGGTGGTTATATTTCCTTCTTATTTTGAAAATATGTCAAATAAAAACCTCTAATATTTCATATTTTGCACTTTATATTTATGTACTATATGTTTTTTATATGTTTTTGTTTCAAAAAAAAATTAGATGGGTCGAAGCGAAGCGAAGCAAGTAATTCGCAAATATTACGAAAAATATTCGAATATTCGAACTTCCGAATACTCGTAAATTTACGAATCGAAGCAAATAGCAAAATCAACTATTCGGTCGAAGCGAAGCAAATAACAAATATCACAAATTTTTCGAATATTCGCTTCGTGCCCAGGGTTATTTGGTACTAGTCTATAGACATCCTTTCAATACGATTAGTTAATTAGAGCTGTACTTATCTAATCTGGGTGGGAAACCACGTCATGTGAGATTCGTTGAGAAAACGACACGCCTTGCCGTTTTATCTTCTTTCAGCTCAAATAAATAATAATCAAGTCACCCCTTGCGTTTAATAAGAGAGAGACGCCGTGCCGTTTTGTCAGATATATAGTTGACACCATTTGTTTTTTTTAATTCGGTCGAGATGTTTATTGGAATTTAAACTTTATAATTTGACCCCTCCATTTTAATGTTTAACTTTCTTACCCAGCTTGACGACTTCAAATTGACCCCTCCATAAAAAGGTTAGTAATCAGATTCACATAAAATAAAAGCATTAATCAAAAAGTTAACACAAAAAAATTTCAAAAATTGTTGAAAGATATATCTTATATAGTCTTGAACTAAGTAAGAGTAAGTCAGAGTAAACTCAAAAATAATATAAGGAGTCAACCTCAATTTAGACTTAATAAAGGGATTCTCTTAAAAAAATAGTTTACAAGAAACCAAATTCAAATACATCCAGCATGTGTATTTTGTGCATCTAGTAATCAAATAAATACAAAAATATGATCTGAATATATTACTTAGAAGATTCTCTATTTTGCAATAACACTCATATTATAGACTTTACAAGCATCAAAACATTATGTAATGTTTCTTGTTTTTTTTTGCTTAAGAGCATCAGATCATATTTAATGTAATGTACTTAATGAATATATGATATTAAATAAAACATTGATTTTCTCTCTTAAAATGTTTAATAGCCACAAAGAGAAGAAAGCGCCATTTCTGCTTCTTCTTACTTCGATCCTTGTGAGAGAGAGAGATATAAAGTTTCTTCCTTTTTCCCACGTTTCACGTCCCACCTCTTACCTCTTCAATCCCCTACAAGTTTCGAGTTTTGATCCAACCAAACCCAACAAAAAAAAACGATTTTTTTCCGATAATTTAGTAACTTTAATCGGAGAACCACTCTTGGGTTTACTGTTTTCCGGCGAGATGGCCAACAACGACGGGAGTGACCCATTACTTCAATACATAATTAGTCCTAGATTGAAAAGACCGCCACAGCTTCTGTTTCCGTTACCTGAAGACAACGAAGTCGCGATTCCGATGCCGATGACACCGTCGGAGTTCAAGGACCGTTTAATCTTCGGACCCTTGTCACGTTCGCCGCGAGATTCGTCTCAATTCATCGATTCCATCTCTCAAAAACAGCCCTCACCGTCGTCTTCTTCCACCGCCGTTAATCCTTTCTCCGATTCCTCAACCCTAGAGCCTCTCCTTCCACCTACACCATCACCACAGCCGGAGCCATGGTTTTCCGATCGAAGCTCGAATCATTCTCACGGCCACCCACTTCACCGTTCCAAAACCGCACCAGCGATGGCTGTGATCAATGATTTGCATCACCCAATTCGTCAGAAAGATCCCACGGAGGCATCACGATCTGTTGTAAGACAAGCTTTTGCTCTTCTCGTTGTGTATCTCTCCTTAGGTGTGCTTATCTATTGGCTGAATCGTGATAACTACGTTGTGAATCAAACCCATCCTGTAGTTGATGGATTGTATTTTTGTATTGTTACAATGTGTACGATTGGTTATGGGGACATCACTCCGAATAGTGTGGTTACTAAGCTGTTCTCGATCATGTTTGTGCTTGTTGGGTTTGGTTTCATTGATATTTTGCTTAGTGGGATGGTCTCTTATGTTCTTGACCTTCAAGAGAGCTATATGTTAGACTCTGCTAAGCGGAGAGACGAGCCAGAGAAGAGGAGGTCTTATATAATCGATGTGAAGAAAGGGAGAATGAGGATTAGGTTGAAAGTGGCTTTGGCATTGGGTGTTGTGGTTTTATGCATTGCTGTTGGTATTGGGATAATGCATTTCATTGAGAATATCGGGTGGTTGGATTCGTTTTATCTATCGGTTATGTCGGTTACTACTGTTGGGTATGGAGATCGGGCATTTAAGACATTGCCCGGTAGGCTTTTCGCTGCGATATGGTTGCTTGTGTCTACGTTAGCTGTGGCTCGGGCATTTTTGTACTTGGCTGAGGCGAGAGTGGATAAGAGGAATAGGGAACGGGCTAAGAAAGTACTTTGTGAGACAATGTCTGTCTCACAGTTTTTTGCTGCAGATATTGATAACAATGGCTGTGTGAGGTATTTGACTCAATTCCCTATCCATTTTATATGCTCTGACACTGTGACACACTCCTTAAAGGTTTTATGAATCTTAAACTGTTTACCGAATTAATTGTGCGATTCTTAGTTTTGTGAAAAATATCCATTTGTGACATCCGTATAAGGTATACGCATTTCTTAGTCAGTGGTATTAGTCTTTCCAGTTTCGTTTGCTTAGAAGATCTTTGAAAACAAAAGCATTCCTTGCCAATTAGTCTATTAGATTCTTGAATGTGTTAGATTCTCAATTTAATGCATCTTCTGCACTTTTTTGCTTGAAACTTTTTATGATGCTGAGTTGAAGATATGTGAATATGTGATGCGAAAGCATTGTTCTTTTGTCATTGTGATCAGCTAGATTATGATGTTTTCAGCTTTATCTAAAGGAGACATAGTCACATTTTTTATGTACATGTAAATGCTTTGCTTGCAAGCTCAAAATCTGAGATATCTTCGGCTTGTTTATGTGTGTTTGCAGTAAAGCAGAGTATGTGATATACAAATTAAAGGAGATGGAGAAGATAACAGATAAGGACATAACTCCAATCTCCAAACAGTTTGACAAACTCGACCGATGCAGCAATGGAAAGATTACTCTTGTAGATCTTTTGGATAGTAGCAGTGACGCTTGATCCTCTGCAACTTTTTTTTTGTTTTAGCTTAGTTTACACATGCAAATTACAAACTGATCAATGATGCTAATGATGAGGAGTCCAGTCTAAGGTTTATTTAAACCATTTTGGACAGATCTTATGTCTTTGGTCTTGTCTTGCATAATTTGTTTAAGCAGGATTCACTGATTCGCAACCAAAAGTAATCTCCTCTCACTCAAGACTAGGAGGAAATGTTGGGTTTTTGTTAACCGGTATGGTATGTTGCCAAATGGTTCTGTCATCGGTTTACTTTGGTACGGTGGTAAGATATGATTCCCATCTGAATCAGAGAATTTAAAGGGCAATGACCCCTGTAAGTTTTGCAGATATTATAGCTAGGATCAAAAAAAGGGTTCAATGTATATAAATGTGGGGTTGATAAGGTTTTGATCCAAGTTTGGTTGGTCCATTATGGAAATAAAGTATTAACAGTAACTTTCTATCTAGAAAATAAAAATTCGAAATGAGTTTTCTTTATCAACAATTTTAAAAGTGTATCACTGTTTATATTATCAGCTTTGTTTTAAAATAGTTTTATACCGAATAAACAGAATTTAATTTGCTCTATGTAGTACCTCAACATATTGATGAAAACAAGTAATGAAAATTGTATTTTTCTGATGAGTTTTCTTTTTCTTTATACTTCTATACACCATAGTTTTATCATTATCTTATTATATAAACCTTGGTTTTCAAAATTAGCCATTAACAAGATCGTGACACGTGTCAATTATAAACTATAAGATATTGACACGTGTCGTAACTAATTTTGTTAATATTTGGATAAAATAGAAATATTATT